GTCAACCAATGTTGGCCAGGCTGCATCTCAAACTCCTGGCCTCAAGGTGAGTCGGCCCGCCTCAGCCTCCCAGAGTCCTGGGATTACGGCGGGAGCACCCAAGCCCAGTCTTAGATGTGAAACTTTTGGAATACTATTTGAGCAGGTTAAACTGATATTTTTTTTTGTTTGGTTTTTTTTTGTGTGTTGGTTGATTGTTTTTAGTGGATTAAAAAACTAGTTTAGAAGTTGATTATTGGAAGGCTGCAGGTGCAGGTGACTCATGCCTGTATTCAGCCGGTTTGGGGAGGGCTGAGACAGGTTTTCGGATCACTTGGAGCGAGGAGTAAGGACCAGCCTGGGGCACATGGGCAAAAACATTGTTGTCTACAAAATACAAACTCTCTCGCCAGATGTGGTGTTCCATGCTGTGGGTCCCAGCTACAGGGAAGGCTGGATGGGCATATCACTTTGAGCTCGGGAGGTCAGGGCTGGCAGGTGAGGCCATGATCATGGCCAACTGCACTCCAGGCCTGGGCAACAGAGTGAGACCCTATTCTTAAAAGAAAGAAAGAGAGAGGAGAATTTGGTTATTGGAATTGGTGGGGTGTATTGGTGGGTTTTATATTTTTTCTCTGTTCATGGAAATGTTTTAGAATTATTCTTTCCTTAACGTTTTCTCCTTATATGGCAGACTAAGGTTTCACATCCCTCTTGTTCCAAAAAGATGTACTTTCTTTCATTGAGACTGCAACAATGGAAATGCTTGCTTTTCAGTGTATTCTTGACCTGCTATGGTTAACACGCAGTTTGTCCTTGCACTTTATTATTTAGTTAAAAGTTTGATAAGACACGAGCCATGGCAAACATGGGGGGGTGGAGGGGGTGCCTGCTCCGGTTACGCGGTTTACATAGGCAGGTCAGATACACTGGAAAGAGCCAAGCATTTTCCGATTGGTATGCAGGTCTCAATGGAAAGAAGTACATGGCTTTTTGAGAAGAGGATGTGAAACCTTAGGTCTGGTCATTGATTTAGAAACGTTAAGAAGGATAATTCTAAACTGTCCATGCAGAAAAATATTAAAACCCACAATACCACCCCCAACAATTCGCAATAACCATTCTCTCTCTTTCTTTTTTTTTTTTAAAGATAGGGTTCTTCACTTGTTGGCCAGGCTGGAGTGCGTTGGCATGTCCATGCTCACTGCGCTTGACCCCGGCTTCAAGTGATTAATCCGCATCCCAGCCTTCTTGAGGTTAGCTTGGGACACGCATGCACACCATCTGCTAATTGGTATTTTTGTTAGAACCTAAGGTTTTGCCATGTTGCCCAGCGGGTTCAACTGATTCTCCTGCCTCAGCCTCCCAACTGGGATTACAGGCGCCCGCCACCATGCCCAGCTAATTTTTTGCATTTTTAGTAGAGACAGGGTTTCACCATGTTGGCCAGGCTGATCGCGAACTCCTGACCTCAGGTGATCCACCCGCCTTGGCCTCCCAAAGTACTGTTATTACAGGTGTGAGCCACTGCACCATGCCCCTCCAATCTTTTATTTCATCCTCATGCAGGCTTTAGGTTCTTTCAATTCAGGTGCAATTTCACACGACAAAGACATTTACATAACTACTGTTCCCAAGGAAACTGTTGTAGGAGACCAAAGTCGTTTATAGGCAGACCTCCATCAGCTGAGGGTTGATATAAGCCCTTTACTTATAAAACTTTAATCATCATAAAATTTTCATCCAGTATTCATACAATGCTCTTTATTTACTCAAGAAAGCATTTTTACTATGAGCCAAGCACTCTGCTAATGTGATGATAGCCATTGGTATTGGTAGTGTCACTGAGGAGTAATATCTGTGTGGGCAGTTAGGGAGTGCTTGTCAGGATAAGCTCTGGCTGCTGGTGGTAAGCCATTTAAGAGTTGAAAGTGGTGTCAACTGATGGGAGGGGACAAAAGAGTGGAAAGTGGGAGAGTGACCGGGTAAACATTTTATTTTAAATGGGTCACTCTGAAGTTGAGTAGAAAGTAAATAGATTTAAAGGGGCAAAGATTGGAGGCAGGGATTGCTGTTAGAAATTTCCAGTGGCCTAAGTAAGAGACAGTGTGTTCTTTTTTCCAGTTTAGGGAAGAGAAGAAGAGGGGGTGGATAATAATGAAGGTTTGGCATTGCTAGTTGTGTGCCTGCCTTTATAAGAATTATTTCATTTACTCTTTCCAAAACCTTTATAAGGTACAGATTGAGCATCATTAATCCAAAAATCCAAAATCAGAAATGCTCCAAAATGCAAAACTTTTTGAGCACTGATATGATATTCAAAGAAAACACTCATTGGAACATTTCTTCAGATTTTTGGGTTAGAGAGCTCATCTAATATGTATTTGCAAATATACCAAAATCTCAGCAAAATCCAAAACACTTATGGTCCCAAGCATTTTGGATAAGAGAGATATACAGCCTATAGAACTTTAATATCTGCTTTTTATAGATGATGCTGAGGCAATGAGAGATTAAATTTTTTGCCTAAGGTCACATAGTTAGCAAGTGACAAAACTGGGCCTACCTCTAAGCACTCACTGAAATTATACACTCTCCTGTACTCTCTCATGTGGACAGCAGTGTACAGAGTGAGATTAGGAAGTGGGGAGTTACTGATATTGGGGCCAAGGAAGCAAGAAGTGAAGGATGACCATCAGGTTTCTGGGGAAGAGTCTAGGTAGATGGTGATGCTGTCTATTAAAGACCACAAGAGGAGGGAGGATAGGTTGTTAGTTGCTATCTGTACATAGGTTTTGTCAATTTTGAGCTTTTCCAGTTAGAACAAATTCTGTTCTAAAGGAATCTTGTTTTACTTTTACTAAAACTTTATAGTTGACTTAAGATTTGTGCATTTTACTATGTGTAAATCGTACCTTAATAAAACAGTGAAAAAACCTGTGGGCCCTGTACCCATTTAAAAATTAAAGATTTCGTAAGTTTCTATAATTCAGTGTATTGTCATCAGTATTGCCAAAGAATTAAGTTTATCTTTTGAGCTGGGCACGGTGGCTCACACCTGTAATCCAAGAACTTTGGAAGGCCGAGACAGGAGGAGCCCTTGAATCCAGGAGTTTGAGACTAGCCTGGGTGACATAGTGAGACCCCATCTCTACAAAAAAATTAAAAAATTAGTTGGGCACAGTGACACGAGACTGTAGTCCTGCCTTCTCAGGAGGCTGAGGTGGGAGGATCCCTTCAGCCCAGGAGTTTCAGCAGTGAGCTATGGTTGTGCCACTGCACTTTAGCCTGGGTAATACAGCAAGATCCTATCTCTCTTTTTTTTTTTTTTTAAGTATTAAATTTATCCTTTTGAATTCTTTGTTTCACAGTAATAGAATCTCATCCAGATAATGCATTAGAGGATCTACGACTAGATAAGCCATTTCCTGAACTGAGAGAACATTTTCAGTCCTATGATTTGGATCATATGGAAAAAAAGGTTGGTAGTGTGTGTGACCTTACATTTACAGATAGACCTAAAACATTTTTTTTTTAACCTAAGGTTTTTGAATTACACCAAAGTGGGAAAATCCTATAAACCTCCATATTCCTGTCATCCAGATTACCCAATAACAATATTTTACCTTGTTTTCAACATATTAATTTTTCTCCAAAATTAAAAAACTTTTTTATTGAAGAAAAGTATGTATACTGAACATCTGTGTAATCACTACCCAGGTCAAGAAATTAGACATTAACCTATTCCAGGTGGGGAGATGGGGATGGTTAATGGGTACCAAAAAAATAATTGGAAAGAATGAATAAGATTTACTCCTTGAAAGCACAACAAGGTGACTATAGTTGATAATGACAACTTAGTTATACGTTTTAAAATAATTAAGAGTTTAATTGGATTATTTGTAACATAAAGGATAAACGCTTGAGGGGATAAATGCTATACAGATACCCCTCTCCATGATGTGCTTCACATTGCATACCTGTATCAAAGCATGTGCCCCATAAATATATACACCTAAGTACCCACAAAAATTGAAAATAAAAAATCTTCAAACAGAAAACAGAAACAAAAAAATTCCAAGAAGTCCTCTTTATGGCCTTTTTCTAAACAAATAGAAATAATGACATAAAAATATAATTTAAAGAGTATATGTATTTTTGCCTACTTCCATATTAATTAACATGCAGTTGTTTATTTGGTTCATCAGAAAACAAAACAGATCCTCCTTTCTTTAGGATTGGTGTCTGAAATTGAGATTTGAGCTGTGTTTTTGGGTGGCAGTCTCTGAGACTGTTTTGCTGGTATAAGGGGGACAATCATAGTATATACATGACATACTAGGTATCTCCTCTAGAAGAATTTGTAAAGCAGTTTTTATTAACTCAGTTCATTTTCCTCTATTCATTACTCTGGATATATTAGGAGATCATAAATATTGTTGAATTTGTTGAAAACGAGATGGTACAGTGAAGAATTAATAATACCAATGTTTTCTTTTATTTGTCTCTCATTTTTAGGACCACAGCCATACTCCATGGATTGTGATCATAGCTAAATATTTAGCACAGTGGTATAGTGAAGTATGTCCTTTTAAAAAAAAATTTCATATGCAACTGTATTTTCAGTTTCTTATAAAGGATTTCCTTGATGGGGAATGGGAGATTAATTTTTTTCCTTATGGGCTTGTATGGTAGGGCAAATGGATGCTTTTAAATTTAAATCCAGCAGTTCATCTTTTGATCCTGATAATTTTAATTAACAAAATGAAATTTGATGAATGTCGTTATGAAACTGGCAGGGGGAATGAATGTAGATAAATGGTCACAGTGTCTGTTTTCTATCAAGTGAGCCTCTGATTTCACAGAGAAATATATTTGTTGATGAAATCTTAGGTAGAGAATGGGGGACACTGTAGACTTTCAATTTCTGTATTTTGAGTTTTTAATAACTAGATTTTTAAAATTTTTAACCAATTTAGACAAATGGACGAATACCTAAAACATATAAAGAAAAAGAAGACTTCAGAGATTTGATTAGACAAGGTAATATTATGGGATATGATTAAATACTACATAAAGCTTGAAAAGCAAATTGCTAGAGGCAAGTGCTTATTGGATTTCTGTTGACACCTTTGTCAGATGATATCATCATGAGCTTTTATTTCACTTTCCCTCTGGAGAAGTTAAGAAGCCACGCCTTGTATAGTTTTAAGGACTAATGATAAGCCATATTTCTTCTTAAGATTCAATATTCTGCAGAATCTGACAAGGTTATTTTTATAATGGGGGAACAGAAGAGTGAAAAGAAAAGGGCTGTTGTTTGCTAACAATTTCCCATTAAAATAGGAATTCTAAAGAATGAAAATGGGGCTCCAGAAGATGAAGAGAATTTTGAAGAAGCCATTAAAAATGTGAACACAGCACTAAATACAACTCAGGTAATGAAAGAGTTGCTGAGGGATTCACATGAACAAGGTGTTTTCTAGAGTCCTTCACTATTAAATGGTTGATTACAATGATTTAAGTTCATATTTTCTAAATGTATAGTTAGAAATAAATACAAGGCCGGGCATGGTGGTTCATCCTAGCACTTTGGGAGGCTGAGGCGGGCGGACCACCTGAGATCAGGAGTTTGAGACGAGCCTGGCCAACATAGCGAAACCGCGTCTCTACTAAAAATATAAAAATTAGCCGGGCATGGTGGAACATACCTGTAACCCCAGCTACTCGGGAGGCTGAGGCAGGAGAATCACTTGAACCCAGGAGGCAGACGTTACAGTGAGCCAAGATTACACCACTGCACTCCAGCCTGGGCAACAGAGTAAGACTCCGCCTCAGGTGCCTTTGGTTTTGTTATGGCTTAGTTGTTGAAGTATGACCATTGAAGTTTTTGGGGAGCTTTGGAATAATACCTGGTAGTTTAAGTTAGAATTTTCTTGCAACTTAAAACAGCAAATATGCTGCCTTTCAAGTTAGGAAGGCATGTAAGATATTATTACCAACTTTTTGGAGACAACAAGGCAGCATTGCTTAGTGATTAAAAGTGTGTGCTGGCTGGGGCCAGGCGCGGTGGCTCACACCTGTAATCCCAACACGTTTGGGAGGCCGAGGAGGGCAGATCACATGAGATCAGGAGTCCAAGACCAGCCTGGCCAACATGGTGAAACCCCATCTCTCCTAAAAATACAAAAAATTAGCTGGGCATGGTGGTGGGCACCTGTAATCCCAGCTACTTGGGAGACAGAGGTTGCAGTGAGCTGAGATCTTGCCAGTGTACTCCAGCCTGGGCAACAAGAGTGAGACTCTGTCTCAAAAAAAAAAAAAAAAAAAAAAAAAAGTGGTTGCCGGCCAGGTGTGGTGGCTCACACCTGTAATCCCGACACTTTTGGGAGGCCAGGGCAGAAAAATTGCTTGAGCCCAGTTCAAGACCAGCCTGAACAACATAGGGAGATACGGTCTATACAAAAAATTTAAAAATTAGATGGGTGTGGTGGCATGCACCTATAGTCTGAGCTACTCTGAACCCTAAGATGGTGGGAGGATCGCTTGAGCCCTGGAGGTTGAGGCTGCAGTGAGCCATGATTGTGCCACTGCATTGCAGCCTAGGCAATGATATGAGACCCTGTGTCCATAAAAGTATGTGCTTTGTGAATCACTTTTCTGGGGTGATGAAAATTTTCTGTTTTAATTGGGGTTACGGTTAAAAATATGTATATATAGTTATCAAAATGCATTGAATTGGACATTTAAAATCTCTGTATTTCACTGAATATAAAACCACAGTTGAAAAGAAAAGGTTCAATCGTTGGGGGACAGTAAGTTAAATAAACAGATAAAAATGCACCAGGTGCTATGAACAAAATTACAGCAGAACAAAGGGGCAGAGAGCATGTTGGGGACAAGGGAATCTGGGGTTGAGAGACAATTTTAGATAGGGAGCCAGGGAGACTTTCCAAGAGACGTTTAAGCAGAAGCCTGAGTGAAGTGACATGCAGAGGTCTGGGGGAAGAGCTTTTCAGTTGGAGGAAGCACATGTGCAAAGAAGTGGGAGGAAGCTTGACTTTTGTTCAAGCATCAGTAAGCAAGTCAGTGTGATTGGAGTGAAGTGAAAAAGGGGGGAAGGTGGTAGGAAGGATTTGAGTTTGGAGAGGCAGAAAGGACCAGATCATAAAGGTCTTGCAGGCTATTTAAGCATTTCGATCAGGGAAGTGGAGTGAGCTGCTTTATATTCTAAAAGACCATTCTGGCTTTGGTGAGGAGAACAGAATTGAGGGGACTGGGAATGGAAGCAGAGAGACCAGTTAGGAGGTACCACTGAGACATTTCATTTTTCTACGCAACAGTAGAATTAAAGCCTATGATTTGTATACTTTTTTTTTTTTTTTTGAGACAGGGTCTCACATTGTTGCCCAGGGTAGAGTGCAGTGATGCAATGACTGCTCACTGCAGCCTTGACCTCCTGGGTTCAAGTGATCCTCCCACCTCAGCCTCCCAAGTAGCTGGGACCACAAGCATGTGCCACCATGCCTAGCTAATTTACTTTTACATTTTGTATAGGCAGGGTCTCCCTGTTTTGTTTAGGTTGATCTCGAACTCCTGGGCTCAAGTGACCCTCCCACCTTGGCCTCCTAAATGCTGGGATTATAGGTGCGAGCCATCGTGCTTGGCTTTATACTCTTGATTTATGTGTGAAGATCTTGCTAGCAATAAAATTACTTTATAGTTTTAGTTTTTTTCAGAGTGGTTGTCTCAGCGGTCACTAATTAGGGTGCAAGGGTTTCCAATTTTTGACAAGATGGAAAATCATGGAATATTACAAGTCTATAATCTGTTTTGTCTTCAGATTTAACTACATAAAATCATTTACTGGGGCCCCTTCTTTACCCCATTTATGGTATAAGAGAATAGGTATTAAATGCCAGCAACAGTGGGCAGGAGAGGTCTTTCTTCCATTCTTTCTTTCCCCATCAAATCTTCATATGGTACTGATTCTAAATAAAATTATAAACAAATCAGAAGTTTGTATTTGATTACAATTTGAGAATTCAAAGAATATATCTGAAGAAATAGCACTGAAAATAAAGATAGGCAAATTCTTAATACTGTGTAAGTAAATGTTTCATGTTCCTTTGTTAGATCCCAAGCAGTATTGAAGATATATTTAATGATGATCGCTGCATAAATATCACCAAACAGGTAACAACAACAAAAGTAAAAACATTGCTGTCTAAACCTTTGGGTCAAAGTAAAACGCCGCTTAATGTTAATTTTTTCTTATTCTTTTAGACTCCATCATTTTGGATTTTAGCTCGTGCCTTAAAGGAATTTGTGGCCAAAGAGGGTCAAGGAAATTTACCTGTTCGAGGCACAATCCCTGATATGATTGCAGATTCAGGCAAATATATAAAACTGCAAAACGTGTATGTCACTGTTTTCAAACTATGTAGTATACAAAGTCTGATTATATTAGAGATAAACATTTTATCATCCTATCAGAAATCAAATGAAAGTTTATTATAACCTCATTGCTTATAAATAAACTAGGCCAGCTGCAGTGGCTCATGCCTGTAATCCCAACACTTTGGGAGGCCAAGGTGGGAGAATTGCTTGAGTCCAGGAGTTTGAGACCATCCTGGGCAACAGTGAGACTTCCATCTCTACAAATTGAAAAATTAGGTGGGCATGGTAGCATGTGCCTTTAATCTCAACTACTCGGGAGGCTGAGGCAGAAGGATCTCTTGAGCTCAGGAGTTTGAGGCTGCAGTGAGCCATGATCATGCCACTTCACTTCAGCCTGGGTGACAAAGCAAGACCCTGTTTCAAATAAATAAGTAAAAATAAGCTAAAGAACTTAGGCCAGGCTGGGCGCAGTGGCTCATGCCTGTAATCCCAGCACTTTGGGAGGCTGAGGTGGGCGGATCACAAGGTCAGGAGATTAAGACTATCCTGTCTAACATGGGAAAACCCGTCTCTACTAAAAATCCAAAAAAATTAGCTGGGAGTGGTGGCGGGCGCCTGTAGTCCCAGCTACTTGGGAGGCTGAGGCAGGAGAATAGTGTGAACCTGGGAGGTGGAGCTTGCAGTGAGCCGAGATCATGTCACTGCACTCCAACCTGGGTAACAAAGTGAGACTCTGTCTCAAAAAAAAAAAAGAAACTTAGGCCGGGCGGGCGGATCATGAGGTCAGGAGATCAAGACCATCCTGGCCAACATGGTGAAACCCTGTCTCTACTAAAAAAAAAATACAAAAAATTAGCCAGGCGTGGTGGTGCGTGCCTGTAGTCCCAGCTATTCGGGAGGCTGAGGCAGGGGAATCGCTTGAACCCAGGAGGCGGAGGTTGCAGTGAGCCGAGATCGCACCACTGCACTCCAGCCTGGCGACAGCAAAATTCCACCTCAAAAAAAAAACAAACAAACAACTTAGGGATGATTCTTTTTAGGCTCAAAGCAAAATTGAATGGGAAATACAGAATTACCACATATCCCTAGGAGGCAGAGTTTTTTTTTTTCCCTACCTCATGATAAACCTAATATTTGGTCACTTAACTCTGTGCTATGAACTATGTGTATTAAGTAATTTAATATACACACAAGGTTCACAACAACCTTATGAGAGAGAGAGATACTGTTATTGTCCCCATTTTACACTTGAAGAAACTAAGGTATTGAAAAGGTTACTTATACAAGATCAGATAGCTGGTAAATGGCAGAACCAAGATTTGAACCCCAGAAAACCCAGTACCAGAGCCTGTATTCTTAGCCATGGCCCTATACTGCCTTCTATTTGTAACTTAAAACCATGACGTGTTTGATGAATTTTTTATCTTAATGTTTCATAATTTATAGTCTATAACTAGACACCTTGCTATCCAGGTATCACTAGCCTGAACCCAGATAGACTATCATAGGGATGGATCTCAATGAATATTACCCTCATATAGTTAGGGCATGGTGCAAAGAATCCAGGTCTGCTGGCTTGGTTTCTTTGGGGGCCAAGTAATGTCACATAGAGATGATCTCTGTTCCCCAGACAGATTTCACTCTTTATCGTGTCACCATTGAAAGAATCTTGGTTTGTTGTCCTAGCCTAAGAGTTCAACTACTTAAAACTTGGGGAAGGTCAATTGAGGGTAGAAAGAAGTATGACCTTACGTGGGAGGTAGTCAGCCTGAATACTAATGATTTTTAGAGGGTGAAAGGTAAATAGACCTAAAGAAGTTTTATGGCCGGGTGCAGGGGCTCACACCTGTATTCCCAGCACTTTGGGAGGCCAAAGCAGGTGGTGAAATGTGCCACAGGGGATGTTCACAGGTATTTTAAATGATTGAAATTTTACGTTTTCCATGGTCTCAGTAGTATAGATAATTATTGGATAAGGGTTTTTTTTTCCTCTCATAATAAATGGGGAGTATTTTAAAACAATCAGAGGTACAGCGTGTTTATCTGTGGCAATGCTAAAAAAGTATGAAGGTCAGTTAATTGAAAATTGTCATGAATACAGTATTTTCAGTTTTTAAATCACTTGAACCCAGGAGTTCGAGACCAGCCTGGGCAACATGGTGAAACTCCGTCTGTACAAAAAGACAAAAATTAGTCGGCTGTGGTAGCGTGCGCCTGAATTTCCAGCTACCTGGGAGACTGAGGTGGGAGGATCATATGAGTGTGGGAAGTTGAGGCTGCATTGAGCCAGGATTGCACCACTGCACTCCAGCCTGGGCGGCAGAGTGAGATCCTGTCTCAAAAAACAAAAACAAAAGTTTTACATTGGAGATGAACAGTTTTAATGTATTTAACTTTCCTTGGACTTGACTTCCAGGAGATAAGTCATGTTCTTCAGTAACGTATTTTTTAGGTCCTCTGTCACAGAGCCTAAATCATAGATCCCTCTAGGAGGGCAGTTTTTAAGTTGAGTGCTGTTAGAGGGACCCTGGGTTTTAGTGGGCACTGAGAGTCTGTCACTAACACTGGAAAGATTCCCAGCTACTCATAGGTGCTGTTGATAGCATTTCGCTGGCATTTTCACATTTCATACATTGTCAGGCCTGTGTTTTTTCATGAAAAGGAAATAAATTTTTTGTTCATGGTAACAATTTAAATTTTGCTAATTTAAAAATTTGTTAATAATTGCTTTTTGTTCTTTTTCAGTTACCGTGAAAAAGCAAAGAAGGATGCTGCTGCTGTGGGTAATCATGTTGCCAAATTGCTGCAGTCCATTGGCCAGGTAAGCTGCTGGGCACACTGTGCCCATACAGGCCTGAGCACATAACTCCAGCCAGAAAGGGTTTAGAGACAGAGGGTGTGGCACTAGCTCTGCTTATTTAGGGGGAGCTCTCGTTTGCCTGCCTAATGGGAGAGCTTGTGATAAGGAAACAAGATATTTTTAAAGTGCTCTCCCAGCTCTTGGAGAAAGCCTCCCCATCTCACAGTGATTGGCTTTGTGCCGCACCCTTTGTTAATCTTGTCTTTTAAACTGGAACAGAATCTGTATTTATCTCTTTACAGGCACCAGAGTCCATTTCAGAGAAAGAATTAAAATTACTCTGTAAGTCCCCTTGAATTAATTTCCTTATTTTGCTTGATGGAAATGTGCCACAGGGAATGTTCCCAGGTATTTTGAATGGTTGAAATTTTAAGTGTTCCATGGCCTCAGTGATATAGATAATTATTGGGTAAGGTTTTTTTTTTTTCCTCCCATAATAAATGGAGAGTATTTTAAGACTGAATCAGAGGTAGAGCATGTTTATCTGTGGCAATGCTAAAAAGGCATGATGGTCAGTTAATTGAAAATTGCCATTAATACAGTATTTTCAGTTTTTAAATATTAAGTAATTTAGGAAATTTTTTTGTCTGAAGACTTTGGGTGTGAAATCTTGAGTCACGTGTACATTGACAATATTGGTTTAAATACTCATTTTGATCTGTGTTAAATGACTGTAATGGAGTTAAGAATTTTGCCATCTAGTTTCAGAGTGGTTAGGTTCGTAGGAGTCTCTCAGTAACTCCTCAGTAGGCCAAAAGCATTTTCTTTTATTTAAGAGTCAGTTTCAAAATACTCAATCTGTTGTGCATGCCATCTGAAGATTTCTCCCTGTAGCTACTGCTCCTACGTCCTGTGGAAGTTTATATTTTGCAAGCTCCCCATCCTTAAAATAGATTTATCCAAGCTTTCCATTTTATGACTTCTCCACAATGTCTGTTTAGGCTCAGTTTTAATGTTTTCTGCCACAACTAATCTTGCACCTTGTTTGTTCTATTAGACTAATCTTGAATTAGCATTTGTTGTATTAGATTATATACTACTAGATCGAAAGTTTGATGCTAGGTACTTGAACATTTATTATTCTCTTCTACTTTGGGGCATTTTTGGAAATTTCAATAATACAAAGCTTAAAAAAAGTCATTACATATATCAAGAGTACAATTCATAAACCTCTCTCTTTTAGGACTACTTATCCATAATAATGATGAAAACTATTATTGGTAGAGCCATATCAGGCATTGTGCTAGAGATGCACTTTATACAAGGTGTCACATTTAATCTATAGAACAATTCTCAAAGGTAAACAGTATCATCCCCATTTTACGCTTGAAAACTGAGGTTCAGAGAGGCCATCACCTTACTCGCTTCTGAACTGGTTGTAGTGCCAGGGATGTGAATTTAAGGTGATTTGTGTTCTAGTGCTTTCTCTGCTATTAGAGCCAAGGAGAAAACATTTCTTCACATTCTCATGTCTGAGAAAGGTATACACATAATTCTCTGTTCTTAAAGTCACCTGTGATTCATAATATTCACCTGTCACAGTCATTACTTCCAGAATATCTTTCTTCTGTTCAGGCAGCAATTCTGCATTTCTTCGAGTGGTAAGATGTCGATCCTTAGCAGAAGAATATGGTTTGGATACAATTAACAAGGATGAAATTAGTAAGTATAATAGCCTTCTGATTCTGGGTTAATTTTAATTAAACGATATAAATATTTTGCGTAAAATAGTGTTGAGTATATGGTGATGATATAAAAGAGAATGTAAATATTCATATTCTAATTTTATTCTAAGCTTATCTAAGTAATTATAATTTATGTATATATTATATGAAACTTAATGTATGTATAAAGTCATATTTAGGTCACAGAGTCCATTGTATGATATGTATGAGTTAAAGTCATTATGTTACTACTTTAGTAGAGATTGTGTGACTCTAACTAATAGTCCTGAAACTCAAGTATATAGTAAATTCAGCCCTTTATTATTTATTATATTGCAAATTAATCAAATTAAACTGAAATATTTTTCCTTTCAGTTTCTAGCATGGACAATCCAGATAATGAAATAGTGTTGTACTTAATGTTACGGGCTGTTGATAGATTTAATAAACAACATGGTAGATATCCAGGTAAGAATAGCAATTGAATTACCAGATATAATAAATCTTCAATAAAACATTTAAATTGAAAGTGTTCTCAGGGTATTTATAATAGTGTTGCTTGAATTTCACATTGTAAACAGATTACGCCCCAAACGTTCCCCAGTGAGGAAATACCTTTTGGTTTTTTTTTTTTTTTTTTTTTTTGAGACAGGGTCTCGCTCTGTCACCCAGGCTGGAGTGCAGTGGCTGGATCTCAGCTCACTGCAAGCTCTGCCTCCCGGGTTCACGCCATTCTCCTGCCTCAGCCTCCCGAGTAGCTGGGACTATAGGCGCCCGCCACCTCGCCCGGCTAGTTTTTTGTATTTTTTAGTAGAGATGGGGTTTCACCATGTTAGCCAGGATGGTCTCGATCTCCTGACCTTGTGATCCGCCCGTCTTGGCCTCCCAAAGTGCTGGGATTACAGGCGTGAGCCACCGCGCCTGGCCACCTTTTGTTTTTTAAGTTTATTTGCAAAATAGTGTTCGATTCTAAACTATTATAGGGGAATGTTGGTTGAATATATATATAGAAGAAAACTTTTTTCTGTCATTCTCCATAGTTTGCTACTAAGACTCGCACTGAGTTTAATTTAGTGGAATAGGAAAGCCACGAGAAATATGCTGGCCAGGCATAGTATGGTGGCTCACACCTGTAATGCCAGCACTTTGGGAGACTGATTCAGGCGGATTGCTTGAGCCCAGGAGTTGGAGACCAGCATGGGCAACATGGTGGAACCCCATCTCTACTGAAGATACAAAAAATTAGCCAGACATGGTGGTGTGCACTTGTAGACTCAGCTACTCGGGAGGGTGAGGTGGGAGGATCACCTGAGCCTGGGAAGTTGGGGCTACAGTGAGTTGTGATTGTGCCACTGCACTCCAGCCTGGGTGACCGTGGTGAGATTCTGTCTCAAAAAAAAAAAAGTATGCTAGTAATTTCTGAACTCAAGAACTCTGAAGATGTAGGAATTTGTTTGTTTAGTATCTACTTTTTCTCTTCAGTGAATGTAGTCATTGGAGAATTGGCATAATCTCAAAGATCTGAGGTTGCTCAGAATATTTCTCTTCGGGATGATAATTTTAATTGTGCAGGATTATTGCATAGCAACACATTCTAGGAGTATCATAAAACCTGCTGCTCCATCTGATGCAGTGTGTCTCCAGAGTTTATAGTCTTTTTTTTTTTTTTTTCCCCTGAGACGGAGTCTCTCTCTGTTGCCCAGCCTGGAGTGCAGTGATGGGATCTCAGCTCACTGCAACCTCCGCCTCCTGGGTTTAAACAATTTTTCTACCTCAGCCTCCTGAGTGCTGGGATTATAGGCGCCCACCACCTCGCCTGGCTAATTTTTGTATTTTTAATAGAGACAGGGTTTCACCATGTTAGCCAGGCTGGTCTTGAACTCCTGACCTCAAGTGATCCTCCTGCCTTGGCCTCCCAAAGTGCAGGGATTACAGGCATGAGCCACTGTGCCTGGCCCAGAGTTTATAGCCCTCATGAGCAAGCTAACTAGAACAAACAAAAAGGAATAAACACCAAATATGTATTGCTTTATTTGTATTATTTGATTAGAATTTATTTCAGTTATCTATTGCATAACAAACCACTTCAAAACTTAGTGGTTTAAAACAATAAATAGTGTCGTGATTTTGTGGATTGCCTGGTTTCAGGCAGTTCTCCTTGAGGAGGCATGCAGTTGCTTGATGCCTGGGGGTGGAGTCATTCTGAAGGCTTAACTGACTGAGTTAGACATGCAAGAAGACATTTTTACTCATGTAACTAGCCCCTTAGTCAGAACAGTGGGAATAGCTGGGGGCTGGTTAGGTATCACTCTTCAGGTGGCTAGCTTGGGCTTCCTTTTAGCATCTCAGTTGGCTTCTGCAGTTACCATTCGAAAAAACCCAAGTGGAAGTTACAGGGCTTTTTATGACCTAGGTTGGAAGTCATACAGCATCACTTATGCGCTAAGTAACTTAATCTTTCTGTGCCTTAGTTTTCTCTTCTATGAATGGAGATAACGATATCTACTTCATAGGACTGTTTTGAGCATTCAATTAATATATATATAAGGTCCTTTGAACAGTGTCTAGCATCTGTTAATGCTCAATAAATGTGACCTATTATTGGCGAGGCATGGTGGCTCATGCCTGTAATCCCAGCACTTTGGGAGGCCAAGGTGGGTGGATCACTTGAGGCCAGGAGTTCGAGACCAGTGTAGCAAACACTGAAACTAAAAATAGAAAAAATTAGCTGTGTGGTGGCGCACTCCTGTAGTCCCAGCTTCTTGGGAGGCTGAGGCATGAGAATCATTTGAACCGGGGAGGCAGAGGTTGCGGTGAGCCGAGACTGCACCACTGCACTTTAGCCTAGGTGACAGCAAGATTCTCTCTCAAAAGAAAAAAAAAAGTTACCTATTATTAATAGCTTTATGTCCTCAGTGTCATTTGTCATTTAGTCTTTTAGAATTGGAGAATAACTTTTATAAAGGGTATAAGTAGGACATTACTTTCTCATTCATTAAGTTCTTCTATCAAATAATTATTAAGCACTGTGTGCCAGATGCTCTTCTAGACAGTGAGTATGATGCAATTAACAAAGATTTAATTAAATTCAAATTTTTACTAGGTTTTAGTTGGTCTCTGATTATAGGTTTGTGATATTTGCAAATATTGGTCTCATACTTTGTTATTTTTGTTCTTCAGTTTCATACATATTTTGACTAGAATATCTGAAACTAGATTAAATAAAGGAATTGGCCATTAATTTTCGATCACATTTATTTTAATGAAAACTAACTTTTATTTTTAGGGGTATCTAACTATCAAGTTGAAGAAGATATAGGAAAGTTGAAGTCTTGTCTCACTGGCTTCCTTCAGGAATATGGTTTATCTGTAATGGTGAAAGATGATTATGTCCATGAATTGTGAGTATTTTTTAGGGTATCTAGGAGATGATTCCACACCTGTCGTAAGGCTAATCAAAATTCATGTCTCTGTGATCTCCTCTAGTTGCCGATATGGAGCTGCTGAGCCACATACCATTGCTGCGTTCTTGGGGGGTGAGTTCCATATATGAGAAGACTCACCTGTTGTTACGTAGTACAGTTACTATTTTAATATGAAGTTGTGTCGTCTAGCTATTTTAATTAGGGAGGTCAGTGAAGCAGGATGTTATATTTCTTTTTTTTTTTTTTTTTTTGAGACACAGTCTCACTCTTTTGCCCAGGTTGGAGTGTATTGATGCCATCATAGCTCGCTGCAACCTCAACTCCTGGGCTCAAGTGATCTCTCGCCTCTGCCTCCTGAATAGCTGGGACTACAGGCATGTGCCAGCGAGCCTGACTAATTTTTCAATTTTTTGTAGAGACAGGGTTCCACTATGTTGCCCAGGTTAGGATACTTACTCAGTTGCCTCTATACTGGTCTCCCTGCCTTCCATCTCTCCCACTGCCATCCAACTTAAACTCCTTAAAGAGTCATTAATCCCTCTAAAGCATAGCTCTGATTGTGTCCTTTTACTAACCGCCTGCCCCACCAATACACATACACTCTACGACAGTCCTTCAAGCAAGTCCAGGGACCTTGGCTTGATGTTAAAAATCCCTGTGTTTTAGTTCCACTCAGCCTTTCTAGCCTTGATTTTATCATATTACTTGCTTTCCCCCCAGGCATGCCCTTTGATTTCCTGCTCCTAGATCTTTGCTCCTCTGGACCTATTTGCCTTAAAAATATGTTTTTCTGCATGTCCAAAACCTACATGTTCCACAAGACCCAACTCAAAAATGACATGTCTTTCATAGAAGCTCCCTTACTTCCCTCCCTCACTCTACTTCCCCCTTGTCTTAGTCACTTTGGGCTGCTGTAACAGAATATCATAGACTTATAAACAACAAAAATGTGTCACAGAGTTCTGGAGGCTAGAAGTCTGGGATCAGGGTGCCAGCATGGTCAGGTCTGGTGAGTGCCCATTTCCTGGTTCATAGACAGCTCTCTCTTCTGTGTTCTCACATGGTGAAAAAAAAAATGGCAAGAGAAGTCTCTGGGGTCTCTTATTAGGGCACTAATCCTATTCATGAAGGTTTACGCTCTTGACCTAATCACCTACCAAAAGCCCTATCTTCATACAATTACACTGGGGGTTAGGATTTCAACATGAATTTGAGGGGGAAACGAACCATTCAGTCTGTAACACCCCTCAAAAAAATATGAGCTATTTGCTTGTGGCATTTTCCTTCTAGATGTTGAATGTTTTAAAGGCAGATTTAGGTTTGATTAATACTTGAAGTGTTCAAAATGTGAATGAATCATATAGACCTAAGAAAATGACTTTCTAAGCAAATCCAAAATAAAGCTTGATTCGGAATAATTTATTTTAAACTAAAACCAAGTAGTCTCTTGTGCCAAAATAGCAAAGTTAACTGCCAATTCACAGAAAAGGGCAAATTATTATTTATTCAGATTCAGTCCAGAATCTAAGAAGAGGTATAGCCGGATAGATGGACTGGATGACTTGCCAATAGCAGAAAAAAGTATAAATTGAAGGTTTTTTGTGTTTTTGTTTTTGTTTTTTACTTCTATGCATTCTGTAATCATTTTGCACAGTGCCATTATATCCCTTCACTTCCTTCAGGTTTTATTCAAATGCTGTCTTCTCTGTGATGCCATCCCTGACTCCCCTATTTAAAAGACGAACCCCTCCTCTTGTATTTATATCCCCCTTATTTGCTTTTTCTCCTTAGCACCTATGGTCAGTTGACATACTACACATTCTATTTATTTGTAAATTATCTCTCTCTTTCTTTTTTCCTTACTGTAACCCTACTGCCTAGAACAGTATTTGGTGCACAGTAGTCTCAAATTCTATGCAGTTGGCCGAGTGCAGTGGCTAATGCCTGTAAGGCCTCCGCTTTGGGAGGCTGAGGTGGGCGCATCACTTGAGGTCAGGAGTTCGAAACCACCCTGGCCAACATGGTGAAACCCCATCTCTACTAAAAATGCAAAAATAATTAGCCAGGTGTGGTGGCAGGTGCCTGTAATCCCAGCTACTCAGGAGGCTGAGGCAAGAGAATCATTTGAACCTGGGAGGAGGAGGTTGCAGTGAGCCAAGATCACGCCACTGCACTCCAGCCTGGGCGACAGAGTGAGACTCGTCTAAAAAAAAAAAAAAAAGGAAAAATTCTATCCAGTCCATGAATATTTGGGAGAGAGGAATCTTCAGGTTATAGAAGATGCACAACTTTTTTCTTAGTAGTTTTTTTGTTTTGAGTAAATATAGCAGTCTGGCGATATTTAATATAGATCCTTCCTAAATTACAAATGCATTCAGAACAAATACACCTTTCTCCTTTTTTATTATAAAACAGATACAAGGTAAAATTCAAATGCAGCAGTAGGGTGTCCTTTGAGAATCTTTTATGCCTGTGTGTAGTCTTTAAAGTTTGGTCAACCACACTACTGCTTAGATTTCCTTTAATAACAAAAAGAATTACAGGCTTTTATGTTGATATGACTCAGTAAGCTAACTGCATCTGTTTTGGATCACTTTCAAACACCTTTGCTTTTGAAAAGGGAAAGTTTCTTTACAGAATTGAGTATTTTTATATAACTCTTGAAGTTTACTCTTTTCAGAGATTTGCTTTTCTCCTTTTTCCTTTCAGGAGCTGCTGCTCAAGAGGTCATCAAAATAATCACCAAACAATTTGTAATTTTTAATAATACTTACATTTACAGTGGCATGTCACAAACTTCAGCAACTTTCCAGTTGTAGAGTAAGCACCTTAGGTGGTGTGTTAATGATTGAAACTGTAATTGCCTTCGGGTTGTGCTTTAGTCTGTAAAATTCTAAAGGAGAGCTGCTAAATTGTTTTCTTAATAAACATTTTTCTCATTTGTAATAATGTAGTCTTGTTCTTTGTGGGGAGGGGAAAGGAGACAGTCATTTTCCTAGAAAATGAATCCTATCCATTTCTCATTGAGCATCAATATTGGCTTGCTATTTCAAAGTTACTTGTCATAGATTATCCTTGTGTTTTATTAGAGATAGTTAAAAAAATTTTTTTTCTTACCATCTTCAATAATTAATTTAAGCCATGTGCAGATGTTAGCTATGGACATTTTAGGACCATCATCATTTGTTAAAACGAATAGAATTTAAAAAGAAACTATTTCTGGATATGTAGTTTTCCCAGAAAACAAGACCATCCCCTTGTATGTAGTGTTATCTTAACTAAAGTTTTGGCTGCCTAACCTACTTCTTGAAATTTTATGGGGTCATTTCACTCATATATACTCTTAAATTTAGTCACATGGGACTAATAGCATTCACCAGCATTTTAGAGGGCAAAAAAAGGAAGTAGTAGATGCAAACGGAGTGGAAATCCAGAATCCAGAAGTAGGGGCAGTGCCCGGTTTTTGACTTAATGTATTAATACTTAGGGCTGAGGAACGTGGTCCGTGGTTCATGACTCTTAATATCTAAGGCCACTAACCTGCTGCAGCTGTCTCTGAGGCCAGCGTCTCCTGAGAACTTGTTAGATATGCTAGGGTACCTTACAGGGACTTGGTTTTCCACACCCTAATGTGTCAGCCATTCTTTGGCTGTTCTTCACTGTATCGGGGACCTTCCCCTCGCCTTCATCGCCTGGCAGTCCCATGGGCTGCATTTTACGGCGGAAGAGGCAAGGGACAGGCCTAGGCCTCGGCTCCACTCTGATCCTTTGGTCCGGGTGCAGGTAAGTCCGCCTGGACCGAACTCCGGAAGTCTCCCGGTGAGGTGGCGGCCTGGCTGCCTGTGTGGGCTGCAGTGACCATTAGCGAGGTGCCCAACAAAAGGGAGAACGCACAGTGCACAGCACAGATGCCAGGTGGAAGGGAGGTGGGGCTTCGCCACCCCGTGCCTCGCGTTTACTGTCCCATAGCCAGGCCTCGTCAACCACGTGCACAGTCCCCTAATTTTGGGACTAATGCTCCTCTGAGGTAAAAACCCTAAAAACCGGGGGCGGTAAGCTTAGATTTCTCTTTCAAATTGTAGCTTTCTTAAAAATCTTGCATCCAAGACACCGGCCACCCTATTGCCCTTGGCAATCTGGGGCACCCGCGGAAGCGTTAAGGCTCCGTGCAGGGGCCGTGGGCGTGCCGGCCGGAAGTCCCTCCCACGGACGTGGGCCTGGACTGCTGGGCGGGAAACCCTAGCGAGCGTCGTGGCAGGTGGGCGGTGATGAAGAAAGGGAGGAAGCCCCCGCTTGAGGGTAGACGCCACGGCCTTCGCTCCCGCGTGTTGGGGCCCTGCCTTCCTGCGCTTGGAAACTCCGTATGTTGGCGCCTGTGGAAGGCGGGTTGGGCCGGCCAGGATGTCTTACCGTCCCGTCAGGCCCTTCTTAGCTCACGTGAGAAGAGTCGAGTTGGGGGAACGGGGCCTTTATGAGTAGGTGCCAGGCCCCAGCTGTAGTCCCCACAGCCTTTGGCGGGAAGAGACAGTTATCACGAACCATTTAGAGGCGTGTGGAGCCTGGCAGTATTCGCCCCTATTTCACTTCTGACTCCCCAGGCGCCTCCCCTGGTGACTTTGATGTGTGGAGAGGGTGGGACCCACCGTTGAGGTCTTTTCTCAGAGCCAGGGCCAGGCGGCATGTCCCACAGCACCTGAACGGCGAGGGCCTGCTGAGGGGGCTGATGGCTCTCGAGCGGCCCGCGCCGCTCACCAGTGCCCTGCTCCCGCACAGGACTTGCGAGCCGTGGTCAGAGAGGAGCCTGGAGGGGCCACCTAAGCTCTGCACAAGGAATTCCTCCAGCTCTGTAGGTGAGCCGGCCGCGGGCGGAATGGGCAGGAAGCCGGGCGGGGTGAGCGCCACCGCCTTGGAAAGGTTACGTGTCTGTTACCTGTGGAACCCGGGAGGAGGCCTTGAGGATTTATGCTCTGGGCTCGGGGGGATCATATTGCAGAGCCGGCTGACTCCGGGTACCCACAGTGCGTTTTCTGGGACCTGAATGACTGTTCTCTTGACCCGTTTAAACGATCGAAAACAAATTTGCCCTTTCTCTCTTGCGTCTTCTTTAGAGGGTATTTTTTCTGTATATAATTGCAAGCTGGGTATCAGCTGACAACAATTTAGTGGTGGGATTATCAGCTTTGCCAGCCTTACACAAAAAGATGCCATTTATCTTTCTGATATATTGGGATAATATTTCGATTTCAAAAAGCTTTCTTGGCCTGGCGTGGTGGCAGTCGCCTGTAATCCCAGCTACTCAGGAGGCTGAGGCAGGAGAGTCGCTTGAACCCGGGAGGCGGAGGTTGCAGTGAGCCGAGATGGCGCCATTGCACTCCAGCCTGGGCGACAGAGCCAGACTCTGTCTCAAAAAAAAAAAAATTTCTTTCTCTTTATTTATTTATTTTGAGACAGGGTCTCCCTCCATCATCCAGGTTGGAGTGCAGTGGCATGATGTCGGCTCACTGTAACCTTCATCTCCTGGGCTCAAGGGATCTTCCCACTTCAGCCTCCCAAATAGCTGGGATTACAGGTGCGTGACCACGCCCAGCTACTTTTTGTACTTTTCCTTGGTAGAGATGGGGTTTCACAATGTTGGCCAGGCTGGTCTCCAACTCCTGGCCTGAAGTCTTCCGCCCACCTCGGCCTCCCAAAGTGCTGGGATTACAGGCGCGAGCCACCACGCCCGGCCCCTCAAAAGCTTTTGGTATACATTTTGTAAATCAAGTAAACGAGTAATATTCAACTACTTTTCTTACTGCAATTTGAATTTGAGTTTACTGTTTTGGGGAGTGGGCTGAGTGAAACGTGTAAGTGGGAGAGGTTCTGTCATCCAGAAAAAAATCCTTTTTTTCCTGTGAGAATACAGTAAAGAATTTTGAAATCTTGTTTGTGACAGTACATATATTCACTAAATTACTAAAAGCACTTCATAATCTGCTTTATATGGCAGATGCTTTTGTTCTTGAGAATATACTTGTTTATAATTTTAAATATAATTTTGTGATTATCAATCCCTTGAAAGTTATAACTTTTCCTTTGCTATGGGTGTTTGTAAGCACTTCTCAAGTAAATAGATGACTTGTGTTAATGCTACCAAGTACTTGGCAAACTCTTTTTGTGCAAAGTAACCATTTATAAGAAGAAATTATAAAAACAAAGGGAGAAAAGAGTGTGAGTGGTCAGTTTTAATTTCAAAGCATTTAGGTTTAAAAGTTATACATTACCCCTCATAGGCCAGGCACGATGGCTCAGCCTGTAACCCCAGCACTTTCGGAGGCCAAGGCGGGTGGATCACCTGAGGTCAGGAGTTCGAGACCAGCCTGGCCAACATCGTGAAACCCTGTCTCTACTAAAATTACAAAAATTAGCCGGGCATGGTGGTGCGTGCCTGTAATTCCAGCAATTCCAGCCACTCGGGAGGCGGAGACAGGAGAATTGCTTGAACCTGGGAGATGGAGGTTGCAGTGAGCTGAGATCATACCACTGCACTCCAGCCTGGGCAACAGAGTGAGACTGTCTGGAAAAAAAAAAAAAATTATACATACCCCTCTTAAAAATTATATTAAAAGCAGAATAGATTGGATAATTAAAATTAAGGATATAGTCCTTAAAGTTGTCCATGAAACAAAAACATCCATATATGATAACAGTTTTCCATTTTCGAAAGAGTTCATTTTTTAAAATCTAGTAATCTTTTCCAAATCTTAACCCATTTGTTGAAAAGCAATACGTATTTATGTACGGGAGACAGTATAAGAGTGGTTAAGAGTGTAGGCCCTGGCCTGATTTTCTTGGTTCCCATTTTAACTCTGGCACTTACTAGCAATTTGAAGTTAGTCAAATTATTTGCCCTCTCCTCATGTATCTTCATCCTTATAATTCCCTCATAAGGTTATTGTGGAGACGAAAAAGAATATTCATAAGGTGTAAAGAACAGAGCCTAGCTTCAATAGGCATTTACTGAATTTTAAAAGCTGTTATTATTATAAAAATTGTGAAAAATAGAAAATGGTGGGATAAAACCCATAGAACCACCAGCTAAAGACAAGTGTTAATATGTCATCTTTCTAGCCAGTCTTATTTTATGTTTACCTCTATTTTGGATCATACTGTAGATTAAATTGAGTCTTGCTATTTTTGGTTAACTTTGTAACATAAGCATTTTTCTTTGCTATTGAACATTTCTAGTAAATGTGAATATTCTTGTAATAATATCCTATCTTGTGGACTTATAACATACCTACTTCTATTTTAATGTAATATTTAGGTTAAAAAATGGGCCAGGCATGGTGACTCATGCCTCTAATTTCAGCACTTTGGGAGGCCAAGACGGGAGGATCTCTTGAAGCCAGGAATTCAAGACGAGACTGGGCAACACAGCAAAACCCCTGTCTCTACAAAAATATTTAAAAATTAGCTGGGTGTGGTGGTATGTGCCTGTAGACTCACCTACTCGGAATGCTGAGGCAGGAGGATCACTTGAGCCTAGGAGTTTGAAGCTGCAGTGAGCCAAGATCATGCCACTGCACTACAGCCTGGGTGACAGATTGAGACCCTGTCTCTAAAAAAAAAAAAAAAAAAAAAAGGCAAAAATAATATACCTGTACATTTGTATAGTACTTTATAAAAGATTTTTACATTTGTTATTTCTTTAAACATTTCTTTGTGTTTAAGAATTTTCTTTTTTTTTTTTCTTTTTGAGACAAGGCCTTGTTCTATAAATGGATAATTGGATATCTCTCTTTAACAACATAGTGTTGGAATAAATAAGAATTTTAGAGTTCTGTGAATCCTGATTTGTTGCTCTAAGAAGTTAACTGGACTCTGAGGCATTTTTTCTAACTAATCAGTTTAGCATTTTAAAGTAGGGTATGTGAGAGGTCATATCAGAGTTGCCGGTTATTTTAAAAATGGTTCTAGGCTGGGCATGGTGGCTCAAGTGTGTAATCCTAGCACTTTGAGAGACTGAGGTGGGTGGATTGCTTGAGTTCAGGAGACCAGCCTGGGCAGCATAGTGAGATCCCATCTCACCATACCATGTCAAAAATAAACATGGGTTGTTAATTTAGTATTTAGCTTGTGAAGAGAAAGGCCAGTCTAAAGTGTATGTGTGTGTGTTTTGTAAACCTCTCATAGGTAAGAGGGGTCCCTAATCTGAAACTATGAGATGAAGATTTCCATGAAGAAAATAAGAAAGTGGGGGCTGGGTGTGGGAGCTCACACCTGTAAACTCAGCACTTTGGGAGGCTGAGGTGTGTGGATTGCTTGAGACCAGGAGTTTGTGACTGGCCTGGGCAACATGGCGAAACCCCATCTCTACAAAATTAGCCAAGTGTGGTGGCATGTGCCTGTAGTTTCAGCTACTCTGGAAGCTGACGTGGGAGGATCACCTGAGCCTGGGAGGTCAAGGCTGCAGTAAGTCGTTATCAAGCCACTGCACTCCAGCCTGGGCGTCAGAGTGAGACCCTGCTGTCTCAAAAAAAAAAAAAAAAAAAAAAGGAAGGGAATGGGACCAGTTAAGAGGTCCAGTTAGATCCAGTCACCCATTCATTTGCTTAATAAAATGTCTTGAATGCATATAGTGCTTAAAAATGCCAGATATGTTTATGTTTTTAAATGTAATTATTGTAACAACTCTGTGAAATAGGAATATCATTTCTATTTTACAGCTGAGGGTACAGAGCCTCAAAGAATTTAATCAACCTGCTTGATAGCACACATCTAATAAGTTGCAGATTCAACTTATTAACTAAGTTAATTAAATTTAATTATTATTTTAAAAGTTGTAATTCCCTGGTCTTTTGGCTTCAGGAAAACAATTTTTCCCACCCATTTGTACTTATATCTTTGCTATTCTCAAACATTGATTTAAATTGAGAAAATACCTTTATCTTATAGACGAAATATAAGGAAAAAGAATATAGACAAGCATGGAAAGTGAAGACACAAAGAAAACACAAGGTGAGAAATTGAATCATATATCTGCAATGAGTTTTGTATTGGTAGGATATACTGTAGATTATTTGACAGGATTCAGGAAATGAAAGAATCATTCAGCCATTTACATAAATATTGAGCACTACTCTGTGCCTGTCACATAATTTCTGGCTTCAGGAAACTGACATTCTAATGGGAAAAGACATATTGACAATTAGAATTTCACGTGATAGTTGATTTAATGTCAGTGTATACAAGAAAAATGGGAACCTGAGAAGACCACCATCAAAGGATGCCTGAAGGTACGGATTTCAGAATTGTTCCCAGAAAGATGGAAACTGAATCCATGGGCATGGAGGAGGTTAACCAGAGAGAAAAGGATGGAGAATAGTGTTCATTAATACACACTGTCATATAAGGTTTTAGCTGAGGAAGAGAGCCCCTAAAAAAAGTCTGAGAAAAACATTTCAAAAAGGTGAAAAGAGAGTCAGGAATGTGGTATCTTTGAAATCAGAACCTTAAGAGAATGCTTCATGAGAAAGAGGTTGCTTAAGAGCCTAAAATGTCAACTGTCACAGCTGAGGACTGAATTTTCCACTGCATTTTGCATTTAGGATGTGATTTGTTATGTTAACGGTAAACTTAATAGATTTTAACCAGATTGCAGTCTGTTTATATTTGAGTGGAAAATTAAGATCTGAAGACACAGTATGAATTGCTTACTCTTTAAGAGCTTGACTAAAAATATATAATCAGCCAGGTGTAGTGGCTCACTCCTATCATTCCAGCACTTTGGGAGGTCAAAGTGGGGGATCACTTGAGCCCAGGAGTTTGAGTCCAAACTGGGCAACACAGTGAGACCTCATCTCTACAAAAACAATTAAAAATTAACTGGGCGTGGTGGTACACACTTGTAGTGCCAGCTACTTGGGAGGCTGAGGTGGGAGGATCACTTGAGCCTGGGAGGTCAAGGCTACAATGAACCATGATCGCACCACTGCACTTAAGCCTTGGTGACAGAGCAAGACCCTTTCATTCATTCATAAATAAATAAATAGTAAGATATATGGCAGTAGCTAGAGGAAAGTTGTAATGTCAAGAAAGTGTTATAAAAGACAGGAGAATTTCTGAAGAGGGAATGGAGATTCTGGAGAGGGAGAAGTTGAAAACTGGAGAGAGAGGAGATAACTGTTGGTGATTCCCCTCTCAAACCATTTATAAAACCTCCAACCTCAGTCCCACATCTCACTCTCTTCCATTTTAAGTCTTCAGGTTGCTCCCAGAAGTAGACTGTGAGATAAAGATTTGAGTGCAAGTACCTTTTTTCAGAAAGTGATCCCAGGAAACACTAGCTGGAAAGTGGGGAAATGAGACAGGAGAAAGAAGACAGAGAATATGTTATCAAATAAGTTATTATTATGGATAACTGGAGCTTAAGCCCACTGGGAAACTCTGGGAGCCAGTTTAGAGTCATGTCCCTGAGAGTCATCCCAGCCAAGGGGTGAGAGTATTTATCTATCAGCTCCCATCAGTCAATTGTTTAGCAACAGGGTGAAGTGGTATCTAATTGTGGTTTTGATTTGCATTTGCCTAATGACCAGTGAATGTTGAGCATCTTTTCATATACTTATTGGCAATCTATCTTCCTTGGACAGATGTCTATTTAAATCCATTCCACACTTTAGATTGTGATTTTAGTATTACGTTTTAAGAATTCTTTATCTGTTCTGAACACAAGCCCCCTATTTATTTGGATAACAGATTTTCAGATATTTTTTTCTAGACTGGGCTGTTGTTCTGTGTTCTCGATAGTGTCTTTCGAGGTATAAAGGTTTACAATTTTAAGTCCAGTTTATCAAATTTTCTTTGATTGCTTGTGTTTTTTGTATTCCCTTCAGTATTTGCTTGTTTATTTTATTCAGTAGTTACTGAAGGAACTAGGTTATTTTGCCTAGAGAAGATAAAAACCAAGGTGAAATATGATAGTTGTGATGTCAGGAGATGCTTTGGCTGGGAAGGGAAGGATTATGATAGGAGATATCAAAGTATGAGAAAGGCGTACAGAAGGGAATGGAGGAGTACGTAAAGAAGTTTCTTGCAGACCAGGCATGGTGGCTCATGCTTGTAATCCCAGCACTTCGGGAGACCGAGGCGGGAGGATGGCTTGAGCTCATGAGTTTGAAACCAGCCTGGGCAACATGGCAAAACCCCGTTTATTAAAAAAATACAAAAATTAGCCAGGCGTGGTTAATTTTGTATTCCTGGCTACTCAGGAGGCTGAGGTGGGAGGATCCGTTGAGCCCAGGAGGTTGAGGCTGCAGTGCCCTGTGATTGCACCACTTCACTCACTTGAGCAATAGAGTGCGACCCTGTCTCAAAAGAAAATAAAAGTCTTTTGTATCCTGCCTGCATTGTGCCTAGAACTGAAAATCATTACGCTCCATCAAAAATTTTCTTCGGCATGTTGTTGATGTGGCTTATTGGTATCCATAGAGTCAAACTTACCTTCTTATGGTGTCTGTTAGTGTACAAAATGATAAATAAATATTTGCTATTGCTAAAAACATCTTAGCGATAACCTTTGTACTATGGTTTTCACTAACAAATTTTGTCATGAATTATTTCATTGAAACAAATTGACATTTGAATTTCTTTCAAGAGTGAGACTATGGCCGGGCGCGGTAGCTCATGCCTGTAATCCCAATGCTTTGGGAGGCCAAGGCAGGTGGATTGCCTGAGCTCAGGAGTTCGAAACCACCCTGGACAACATGGTGAAACCCTGTCTCTACTAAAATACAAAAAAATTAGCTGGGCGTTGTGGTGCGCACCTGTAATCCCAGCTACTTGAGAGGCTGAGGTGGGAGAATTGCTTGAACCAGGGAGGCAGAGGTTGCAGTGAGCCAAGATTGTGCCACTGCACTCCAGCTTGGGTGACAGAGTGAGACTCCATCTCAAAAAAAAAAAACAAAAAAAAACGAGGCCGGGTGCAGTGGCTCACGCCTGTAATCCCAGCATTTTGGGAGGCCGAAGCAGGTGGATCATGTGAGGTCAGGAGTTTGAGACCAGCCTGGCCAACATAGTGAAATCCCATCTCTCCTAAAAATACAGAAAATTAGCCGGGCATGGTGGTGGGCACCTGTAATCCCAGCTATTTGGGAAGCTGAGGCAGGAGAATCTCTTGAACCTAGGAGGCGGTGGTTGCAGTGAGCTGAGATTGCTCCACTGCACTCCAGCCTGGGCAAGAAAGCGGGACTCCATCTCAAAAAAAAAAAAAAAAAAAAAAACCCACAAAACAAAGAGTGAGACTAAGTACTATATTGATTGATGATACATCTTAATTTCTCTTAGTGTGCTCCTCTATATTATATCCACCCTTCATCCTATATCTTTCAGAACTCTAACTTTTTTTCATTTTGTTTTTTTTGAGACAGAGTCTTGCTCTTGTTGCCCAGGCTGGAATGCAATGGCCCAATCTCGGCTCACTGCAACCTCTGCCTCCTAGGTTCAAGTGATTCTCCTGCCTCAGCCTCCTGAGTAGCTGGGATTACAGGCACCCACCACTATGCCCAGCTAATTTTTGTATTTTTAGTAGAGATGGGGTTTCAGCATGTTGTCCAGGCTGGTCTCGAACTCCTGACCTCAGGTGATCTGCCCACCTCAGCCTCCCAAAGCGCTGGGATTATAGGTGTGAGCCGCTGCACCCAGCCTACTACTCTAAATGTACTTCAAGCATTATTTCAAAATCTATATGCCATTTGACTTAAATCCTTAAGAGAAGAAATTGTTTTTAAGACTATACTAAAGAACTTTATAGGAAAATAGTTGTCTATTGTTTGCTGTTTAGTTATAAACAAAATGTTTACATTTTGATAAAGCTTGGTATAGGTATGTAGCTGTGCAGCCATCAGCAAAATCAAGATAGTGCATGTATCCTTCTGCTCCTTTGTAATCCCTACCTTCTGTGCTTTCCTAGAGCCTTTTTTCCCCAAGCACTCACTAATCTGCCTTCTGTTACTATAGACTATTTGCATTTTTTCTGTACATAGAATCATACAGTATGAATTCTATTTTATGTGGCGTCTTTCACTCAGCATAATTATTTTGAGATTCATCCGTGTTGTTGCATGCATCTATAATTCTTTTTTTATTGCTAAGTATTCCATTGTATAGTTATACCATGATTTGCTTATCCATTCGTCTGCTGATGGGCATTTTGATTGCTTACACTTCTTAGCTATTACATATAATGGTGCTGTGAACATTTTTATGGACATATATCTCCCCTTTTTAGGGTAAATACTTAGGAGTGGAATGGCTGAATCAAATGTAGGTATACGTTAACAGTTTATGAAACTGCTGATCTGTCTGTCAAAATCTTTGTACCATTTTACATATTCACCAGCAGTATATGAGAGTTCCAGTTCCTTCACGTCCTTGCTAACATATGAAATGATCAGTCATAAATTTTAGTCGTTCAGTGAGTGTGTAATGGCATCTCCTTGTGGTTTTAATTTGCATTTCCCTAATGACTAATGATATTGAGAATATTTTCATGTTCTTATTTGCCATCTATTTATCTTTTTTGTTAAAGTGTGTTCACATCTTTTGCTGTTTTATCTGGTTGTTGGTTTTTCTGTTGCTGAGCTTTCATAGTTCTTTATATTTTCTAGATATATGTTGTTTTTTTTGAGACAGTGTCTCACTTTGTCACCCAGGTTAAAGTACAGTGGCACAATCATAGCTCATTGCAGACTCCAACTCCTGGCTCAAGCAGTACTTTTTTGTTGTTGTTGAGACAGAGTCTCACTCTTGTTGCCCAGCCTGGAGTGCAGTGGCCCGATCTCAGCTCACTGCAACCTCTGCCTCCCAGGTTCAAGTAGTTCTTCTGCCTCAGCCTCCCAAGCACGGGGGATTATAGGCACCCACCACCCCACTCAGCTAATTTTTATATTTTTAGTAGAGATGGGGTTTTACCATGTTGGCCAGGCTGATCTCAAACTCGTGACTCAGGTGATCTGCCCACCTCGGCCTCCCAAAATACTGGGATTACAGGCGTGAGCCACTGCTCCTGACCTCAAGCAGTCTTCTACCTCAGCTTCCTGAGTAGATGGGACTACAGGCACATACCACCATGCCAGGCTAATTTAAATTTTTTTTTTTTTTTTTTGCATAGATAGATCTCACATTGTTGTCCAGGCTGGTAGCCTCAAGAGATACTACTGCCTCATCCTCCCAAAGTGCTGGGATTACAGATGTGACCCATTGTGCCTGGCCCCATGTTCTTTTTGTTTGTTTTTTAATTGACATACAGAATGTACACTAGACGGCTACATGTTCTTTATCAGATATGTTCTTTGCAAAGATTTTCCAGTTTGTGGCTTGTCTTTGCTGCGCTTTAGAAGACACTATTAAAACAATGAAGTTTTTAATTTTATGAAGCCTAGTTCATTATTATTTTGTGAGTTTTGCTGTTATTGTAATATCTAGGAAATCTTTGCTTAACCCAAGGTTACAAAGATTTTCTCCCATGTTTTCTTTTAAAAGTTTCATAGTTGGCCAGGCACAGTCTCGGGAGACTGAGACAGGAGAATCTCTTGAACCCAGGAGGTGGAGGTTACAGTGAGATGAGATCGCGCCACTACATTCCAGCTTGGACAACAGAGCAAGACTCCCTCTCAAAAACAAAATTTAAAAAAAATTCATAGTTTTGGATTTTACATTTAGATTGCATTCCATTTTGAGTTGATTTTTGTATATGTTTCGAAGTATGAATTCAAGAGTTTTTGTTGGCTGTTGTTTTGAGTATGGATATTCAGTTGTTCCAACACTATTTGTTAGCAATGACTTTGTAAAAACTCATGGGTTTGTGTAGGTTTATTTCTGTACTGTCCTGTTTCATTGATCTTTTTGTCTATGCTGATGGCAGTGCCACACTCGTTTTATTACTGTAGGGTTTTTGTTTGTTTGTTTGTTTTTAGATAGCATATCGCTCTGTTTGCCCAGAGTGGAGGGAGTGCAGCAGTGCGATCTTGGCTCACTGCAACCTCCACCTCCCAGGTTCAAGCGATTCTCCTGCCTCAGCCTCCCGAATAGCTGGGATTATAGGCACGTGCCACCATAACTAGCTAATTTTTGTATTTTTTAGTAGAAATGGGGTTTCACTGTGTTGGCCAGGCTGGTCTCAAACTCCTGACCTCAAGTGATCTGCCTGCCTCAGCCTCCCAAAGTGCTGGAATTACAGACGTGAGCCACTGTGCCTGGCCTACTGTAGGTTTTTAAAGTCTTGAAATATGGTAGAGTTAGCCCTTTGGCTTTATACTTCTCTTTCAGTGTTGTCTGGCTATGGTAAGGGTTTTGCATTTCCATATGAATTTTGACATCAGCTTGTCAATTTACACACACACACACACACACACACAGCCTGCTGGGATTACATTGATTGTATAGACCAATTTGGGAAGAATTTACATCTTAACAATATTTAGTCTTTTGACTCATGAACATGGCATATAATGGCATTTATTTTGTTCGTCTTTAATTTCTCTCAGCAGTATTTTTTAGTTTTTGGTGTATGTCTCACCTCTGTTGTCAATTTATAGCTAAGTATTTCAATGCTATATTGTAAATGGGGTGGTTTTTAAAATTTCAATTTCCATTTGTTTATTGCTAGTATATAGAAATACAGTCATGTACTGCATAATGATGTTTCAGTCAACAACAGACCTCATATAGGACAGTGGTCTTATAAGATTATAATGGAACTGAAAAATTCCTGTCATGTAGTGACATTGTAATATAGTAAGCGCAACACGTTACTCACGTTTGCAGTGATGCTGGTGTAAACAAACCTACGATACTGCCAGTTGTATAAAACTATAGCAAGTCCAGTTATGTGTAGTACATAATACCTGATAATGACTCTGTTACTGGTTTATGTATTTACTACACTATTTATTGTTGTTTTAGAATACACTGCTTCTACTTATAAACAAAAATTTTGTAAAACAGCCTCAGGCAGGTCCTTCAGGAGGTATCCCAGAGGAAGGGATTGTTATAAGAGATGGCAGTTCCGTGTGTGTTATTGCCCTGAAGACTTTCCAGTGGGACAAGATGTGGAGATGAAGGACAGTCATATTGATGATCTTGACTCTGTGTAGGCCTATGCTAATGTGTGTGTTGTGTCTTAGTTTTAATAAAGTTTTTTTTAAAGATAAAGATGGGCCAGGCATGATGACTCACACCTATAAATAATTCCAGTGGTTTGGGAGGCCAAGATGGGAGGATTGTTTGAGGCCAGGAGTTTGAGACCAGCCTGGGCAACATAGTGAGACCCCCATCTCTGTAAAAAAAAAAATTAGCTGGGTGTGGTGAAGTTACAATAAGCTAAGTTTATTTTATTATTGAAGATATTTTAAAAATAAATTGAGTAGTCTAAATTTACGGTGTTTATGAAGTCTACAGTAGTGTACAATAGTGTCCTAGGCCTTCACATTCACTTGCCACTTGCTGATGCACCCAGAGCAGCTTCTGGATATACCTTTTAAAAAAATCTGTATTATAGCTTTTCTATGTTTAGATATACAAAAATTTGCCATTGTATTACAATTGACTATATTATTCAATACAGTAACATGCTGCGTAGGTTTATAGCCTAGGAGCAATAGCTATACCATACAACCTAGATGTGTAATAAGCTCTACCATCTAGGTTTGTGTAAGTAAAGTCTATGATGTTAATACAATGATGAAATCACCTAAAAATGCTTTTCTCAGAATGTATCCCCATCATTAAGCAACATTTGACTGTATAATCTGTTTTTATGTATTAAAGAGTTACCTGGAAAACTTAGTTCACTTATTCTAGTAGCTTTCTGTAGATTCCATCAAATTATGTGGAAGATCATGTTGTATGCAAATTCAAGTACTTCTTTGCCAATTTGAGTGCCTTTTATTTCTTTTTTCTTACCTGACGGCACTGGCTAGACTCTTTGGGACAATGTTACATAGGAGTGGTGATATGAGCAAACATCTTTGTCTTATACCTGGTTTTAGAGAGAATATATTCAGTCTTTCCTGTTAAGTATGATGTTTGCTGTAGGGTTTTCAACTGTAGATGCACTTTGCCGGGTTGAGGAAGTTCCTTTCTATTCCAAATTTGCGGAATATTTTTCTTTAATCAGGAATGCATGTGGGATTTTATCAGATGCTGTTTTTACATCCATTGAGATGACCAAAGGTTTTCCTGTTTTGTTACATTGATTTTTTTCAAATCATAAATCAATCTTGTATTTCTGGGATAAACCCACTTAATCGTGATGTCTTTTTATTTTAATATATTGTTGGATTCAATTTGCTAAAATTGTTTAGACTTTTTGCATGTATGTTCATGAGGGAAACTGGTCTGTAGTTTTCTTGCTAATGGCTTCTGTTTTGGTATAAAGGCAATACTAGCCTCATAGAATAAGTTGGGAAGTATTCCTTCTCTTAAACTTTTGAAAAAATTTGAGTAGAATTTATTTTATTCCTTCCTTAAATGTTTGGTAGAATTTGCAAATGAAATCATCTGAACCCAGAGTTTTCTTTGTGGAAAAGTTTTTAACTCTTAATTCAACTTCTTTCATAGACATAAGACTATTCAAGTTGTCTTTTTCTTCTCGGGTGAGTTTTGGTGATGTAATTTCACCTAAGTTGTTGAATCCATAGGTGTGAAATTGTACATAGTACTCCCTTAATATCTTCTGAATATCTGTGGAATGTGGTAATGCCATCTTTCTCATTTCTAATATTGGTAATTTGTGTCTTTACTCCTTTTTTCCTAATTCATCTGGCTAGAAGTTTATCAGTTTTGTTGCTCTTCTCAAAGAACTTCCCCTGTATTTGTTTTCTGTTTCACTGGTTTCAGCTTAGATCTTTATAATTTCCTTTCTTGTACTTATATTGGGTTCAATTTGTTCTTTTTCTAATTTCCTAAGGTGGTAGCTGACGTCGTTGATCTGAGACCTTTCATCCTAAATACTGCTTTCATAGCATCCCACAAATTCTCATATGTTGTATTTTCATTTTTATCCACTTTTTTTCTAAATGACAGATATTTAAACCAGTGTAGCTTTACTTAAAAAGAATAATATTATGACTTTCTATTCCTATATTTATAAAAAGGGAAACTCAAAGAACTATAAGAAGTTCATTTTAAGTTCTTTTATTTAAAGAACATCTTTAGGCCAGACGCGGTGGCTCACGCCTGTAATTCCAACACTCTGGGAGGCCGAGACGGGCGGATCACAAGGTCAGGAGATTGAGACCATCCTGGCTAACACGGTGGAACCCCGTCTCTACTAAAAATACAAAAAATTAGCCGGGCGCAGTGGTCGGCGCCTGTAGTCCCAGCTACACAGGAGGCTGAGGCAGGAGAATGGTGTGAACCCGGGAGGTGGAGCTTGCAGTGAATGGAGATCGCGCCACTGCACTCCAGCCTGGGCGACAGAGTGAGACTCCGTCTCAAAAAAAAAAAAGAACATCTTTAAAAAAAATACATGGTTGTTGGATTATAAAAGTAATACATGCCTATTACTTTAAAAGTTGACCATTCCAAAGATATGTATTTAGTAAGTGAAATGTTAATGGTTAGTTTTTGAAATAAACTTTTTGGTTTAAAATAATGACATTGTTGTTCTTTAGAAATGAAGACTGACCTGAACTTATTATTGGAGTGTCTAAAGTATCAAATGGACAATGCTGTTTCACAAAAGGAAGCTTTGGTCACTATTCATTCAATTTGTCAACAAAACAGTAAGATATAATAGTGAATTTTTATCTGTGATTCTAGTTCTTTAGTACTATGATATATCAAATAAGCATAGTTCTTTATCTTCCATTCATTTATTCTACATATGTTACTGTCTTCATGTGATTTATTTTATCCCTGAAAGGATATTGAAAATAAATATCATTTCTATTTTGTTTTTTTCTGCATATCCTACAGGTAATGCAAGTGTTTATTTTCGGGAAATTGGTGGTTTGATGTTTGTAAAAAATCTTGCAAAGTCAAGTGAACATAGCATGGTAAAAGAAGCAGCCTTATATACATTAGGAGCTATTGCAGAAAAAAATGGTAAAATATAAAACTTTATTTCATTATACTTTAAGCATTGTGTTATATTTTAACAGTATACTCAAAACTAATTTTTTAGTTAATTTCTTTTCTTTTTTTTACACGTTTGAATAATTTTTATCCAGCCTCCCTCCCCTCTCCCTTGCTTCCTCTTTCCTTCCTTCCTTCCCTTTCTTTTCTTTCTTTCCTTTCTTTTCTTCCCTTTCCTTTCCTTTCCTTTCCTTTCTTTTCTTTCCTTTCCTTTCCTTTCTTTTCTTCCCTTTCCTTTCCTTTCCTTTCCTTTCTTTTCTTTCCTTTCCTTTCCTTTCTTTTCTTTCCTTTCTTTTCTTTTCTTTCTTTCTTCTTTCTCTTTCTCTTTCTCTCTTTTCCCTTCCCCTCCCTCCTCTCCTTCTCCGCCCCTCCTTTCCCCTTTCTGCTTCCCCTCCCCTCCCTTTTTTCCTTCCCTTCCCTTTTCCCTGTGCTTTCCTTTCTGTTTCATCTTTCCAGATCAAAGGATGAAGATAACCCACAGCCATGTAATGTGTGGGTATAGAAATTCATGTTGGCAAGAACACTTTTCTGCAGGGCATCTAAAATGAGGTTGAATATAAACCATTGGTTTGTCAGACCAACTTTATATTCTGATATTTTTATTTATTAAATATTTCTTCATCAGCCAGGCGCATGGTGGCTCACACCTATAATCCCAGCACTTTGGGAGGCTGAGGCAGGTGGATCACTTGACCTCAGGAGTTTGAGACCAGCCTGGGCAACATGGTGATACCCCATCTCTACCAAAAATACAAATAATCAGCCGGGCATGGTAGTATGCACCTGTGGTCCCAACTACTTGGGAGGCCGAGGTGAGAGATTACTTGAGCCTGGGAGGTGGAGGTGGCAGTGAGCCAAGATTATGCAACTGTACTCTAACCTGGGCGACAGACCACAGAGTAAGACCCTGTCACCAAAAAAAAAAAAAAAAAAAAAAATCTTTTAGGAAGCAATCTTTGTGCAAGGCATTGGGGATACAGGGATAAGTAAGATATAGTCCTTGAATTTTTTTTTTTTAAATTTAATGTTTGTCTCTATATAATAGGTGTATATATTTATAGGGTACATGAGATGTTTTGATACCGACATGCAGTGCATAATCACGTCGTGGAGAATGAGGTTTCCATCCACTCAAGCATTTATTCATTGTGTTACACAAACAATCCAATTATACTGTTTAGTTATTTTAAAGTGTACAGTTAAATTATTATTGACTATGGTTACTTTGTTATGCTATCATATAGTAAGTCTTAGTCATTCTTTCTTCATTTTTTTTTTTTTTTTTTGGTACCATACCCACCACCTTCCACTACCCTTCCCAGCCTCTGATAATCATCTATCTCCATGAGTTCAATTGTTTTGATTTTTAGATCCCACAAATAAGTGAGAATATGTTTGTCTTTCTGTGCCTGGCTTAGTCCTTGCCTTTGAGATAGGGCCTAATAGCTGGTTCTAGGAACTGGATAAAATGTTGATTGTATCTTTATGTCTATATTATTTTTGTAAAATTCTGCCTATTGCATTAGGACACACACACAAAAACTATAAGATAGTATGATTCTTGAAATGATTTTTATTTCTAGGAAAGTCTCAAAACATATCTCAAATATTGTTTGTCCCTCTGTTTTCTAAAGCAGGTTTCTGAATTTTCTTGAATTGCTTTTCTTGGTATGTTTTGTTACTCATCCTTTAAAGTGTGTTTTGTTTTTTTTTTTTGCTAAATTTTATTTAATTTTTTATTCAGATAAGTTTTTTATTGTAAATTCTAGGGGATTTCAGTATGTGTTTTGGAGCCTAGATTAAGTACTTTTGATTAATATACTGCTGCTTTGGTCTGCTAATTGAGTAAGTACATATCAGTTTGTCAGAAATTTTGTTGTATGACTAATAAATATCAATTACATGAGATTTGGTTAAGAACCATCCCCAGTTAGGTAATTTTTTATTTTGTTCAGCATATTTTAAAGCATGTTTGTGACAATGCATTGAAATTAAAATTATATTTTATATTTCAGTTTACTGTCAGCAGACTTTGTGTACTTCAGAGTTATTTGAAGACTTAACTTGGTTCTTATCTAATGATTCAAACATAAATTTGAAAAGAATGTCTGTTTATGTTATTTTGGTTCTGGTTTCAAATAATAGTAAGTACATTCTCTTATGAATATTTGAAAACATTAATCAATTGGAACAGCCATTATTAATTTTTTATTTGAGTTCTTATATCTTTTTTTTTTTTGGAAACAGAGTCTCGCTGTGGCACGCAGGCTGGAGTGCAGTGGCATGATCTCGGCTCACTGCAACCTCCACCACCTGGTTCAAGTGATTCTTCTGCCTCAGCCTACTGAGTAGCTGGGATTACAGGCACATGCTATCATGCCCAGCTAATTTTTGGATTTTTTGGTAGAGACAGGGGTTTCACCATGTTGGCCAGACTGGTCTCAAATAGTGCTGGGATTACAGGTGTGAGCCACTGCTCCTGGCCCAGTGTCTTTTTTTTTTTTTTTTTTAGACGGAGTCTCGCTCTGCCGCCCAGGCTGGAGTGCAGTGGCACAGTCTCAGCTCACTGCAAGCTCCACCTCCTGGGTTTACGCCATTCTCCTGCCTCAGCCTCCCGAGTAGCTGGGACTACAGGCGCCCGCCACCTCGCCTGGCTAGTTTTTTGTATTTTTAGTAGAGACGGGGTTTCACCGTGTTAGCCAGGATGGTCTCGATCTCCTGACCTCGTGATCCACCTGTCTCGGCCTCCCAAAGTGCTGGGATTACAGGCTTGAGCCACCGCGCCCGGCCCCAGTGTCTTTTTTTAACCTCACCTCTGAGAAATACTAGTTTAAAGAAAGGTGGATTATTAGCATGTATTTAATAATTCAATACTTATTAATTTTAAGAAATAATAAAGTAATTTATAGTGCTTAGCATTGAAAGGTAACAGGTTTAAAGAGAAAAAGAGAGGCATTTAATGAATTAGTTTAGTTGATTTTCTGCTGAATTGACCATTTAGTTACAGTGTTTACAGTATAAACCAGTGATGGTTTTTATTTTGGAATAATTTTAGATTTACAGAAAAGTTGCAAAGATAATATGTTCCCGTATACTTACTGCTCAGTTATTTTTTTAACTTTTTAAAATTTTAATTCTTCAAATTGTTAGAAATTCTGTAAGCATTTAAAATGTTTCTAGGCCAGGTGTGGTAGATCATCCCTGTAATCCCAGCATTTTGGGAGGCCAAGGTGGGAGGATACCTTAAGCCCAGGAGTTTGAAACCAGCCTGGGTAACACAGTGAGACCTTGTCTCTACAAAGAAATTAAAAAAGAAAAGAAAAAGAAAAATTAACTGGGTGTGGTGGCACACACCTGTACTACCAGCTACTTGGGAGGCTAAGGTGGGAGAATTGAGTGAGCTCTGGAGGTTGAGGCTACAGTGAGCTGTGATCAAGCCACTGCACTCCAACCTGAGTGACAGAGCGAGACCCTGTCTCAAAAAAAAGAAATGCTTCTAGGTAGGCACGGTGGGTCACATCTGTAACCCCAGCACTTGGGGAGGCCAAGGCGGTGTAGCCCCTTTCCTATGTCACCCAGGTCCCAGCACAACAACCATATTCAGTACCAGCAGACTCTCTCATGCCACCTTTCCTGCTAGAGGGGAAATGGTATGGGCATCAATAGAGGGGGACGTCTAGGTAGTTGTAGAGCTCAAGGCCCAAACCCCCAGCGTGTTGGGTGGGGGTGGGGCAGCCTCAGGGAAGCTAGGCATCAGGTTGTATCCTTTGAAGCGGAGGAGTCAAGCCTTACCTTCTTCTGCTAGCAGTGACTGGTCCCTCACCCCTCTAGTCCTCTGCTGTTATTTATTGTTTCCATGGGGAGGGTCACAGACCCAGGCACAATGCTAGTCTGAGCAGGCTCAGGCAATTCAGCTAAGCCTCTTGCCAGAGAGGCCTGAGGAGTCGCCTTCTTGCCAGGTGTGCACTTTAAAAAAAATGTTTCTAGATTTTGTTTTATTTTGGAAAAACTAGAAAACGTTGAATTTATTTATTTTTCCATTTTGGAACTTATCTTGATACTGTAACACAGAACCATGATGCAAAGTAAGAGTTTTGTAATTTTTAGAGGAAATTTGAATGCAATTAGTCTCTAAGCAGTAGTGACATATTTTTCATAATAATCTTGATTACAGATTTTTATCCACAGTAATTCTATGTTATACTTTGTAATACTTTAAAGTTGTTTAAAAGTTATTTATTTATTAAAATAAAACTTAACTGTCATTCATTTCTGCAAGACTATTTGTAAATAAAACTCATATTTTTATATGGCTATTTTTTTAAGGGACCGGACAAACACTTGTGAGAGAAACAGGTTGTATTACAGTTCTGTCACGGTTATTCAGGTAAACAAATACAAATTTCTTTTTGTTAATTATTAATTACTTAGGACCTTAACACATTTGTATTAATTTACTTTCTTTTCTTTTTAACCTAATAGGACAGTTATTTCAAAATATGAGTTGGATTTGTCAGATAAAAATGTTTTCCAGAGTTATCAGTTGTGGTCTTCAGTGTGTAGTACTCTGTGTGTCTGTGTCAACAATCCTCAAAATGGTAACTATCTGTAATGTTTAAATATAAAAATAAAGATAAAAACAAATGAAAACTGATGTTTTCCAATTGTCATATTAAATCATGATTGACTTTGTCTTCTTTCAGATGAGAATCAAATGTTTTGCTGTTCACTTTTTCCACATGCTAATGAATGGCTAAAAAATTGCATGAAACCTGAGATAATTCGCCCTATTTGCTCATTTATTGGACTCACTCTTGCAAATAACAGTAAGTATTCATTATTTTCTAGGTCATAGTTGAAGAAACATTTCAAAGCATAATAAAAACTATTGAATTTATTATTGAATCAATTGAGTTCTTGTAATTTGGGTTATTTTGGATGTATTTAGACTCTTAAAGATAAGAAAATCTTAAAAGTGGATATTTTTAGGAGGATATTGGGAAGACGGTCGTAGCAGCATCGTTTTTTTAATCTCCCCAGATACTCTCATAAAACGGAGAAACCAAATAGCAAGACTAAATACCCATAGAGTGTGTTCTCTGATCACAAGGTAATTAAATTAGAAATGAATAAAAACAAAGCATCTAGAAAAGCCCCAAATATCTGGTAATTAAACAACTTGTACTAAAATCCATGAGTCAATGCATAAATCATAAGGAAAATTATAAAATGTTTCTAACTGAATAATAATGAAAATACAACATTAGGCCGGCCATGGTGGCTCACGCCTGTAATCCCAGCACTTTGGAAGGCTGAGGCAGGCAGATCACTTGAGGTCAGGAGTTCGAGACCAGCCTGACCAACATGGTGAAACCCTATCTCTACTAAAAATACAGAAATTAGCTGGGCATGGTGGCAACAATTAGCTGGGCTGGTGGCAGACACCTATAATCCAAGCTGCTTGGGAGGCTGAGGCAGGAGAATCGCGTGAGCCCAGGAGACGGAAGTTGCAGTGAGCCACAATCGCACCATTGCACTCCATCCTGGGCAACAGCAAAATGATACTCTGTCTCAAAAAAAAAAAAAAAAAAAAAGCCAGATGCAGTGGCTCACACCTGTAATCCCAGCACTTTGGGAGGCCGAGGCGGGTGGATCACTTGAGGTCAGGAGTTTGAGACCACATGTTGGCCTGACCAACATGTGAAACCTTGTCTCCACTGAAAATACAAAAATTAGATGGGTGCCTGTAATCCCAGCTACTCAGGAGGCGGAGACAGGAGAATCTCTTGAACCTGGGAGGTAGAGATTGCAGTGAGCTGAGATCACGCCACTGCACTCCAGCCTGGGTGACAGAGTGAGACTCCATCTCAAAAAAAAAAAAAATTTAAAAGAAATCTGTGTGATGCTGCAAAACAGTGTTGAGAGGGAAATTTATAGTATTAAGGCTTGTATAAGAAAAGAAAGGTCTCAAGTCAATTATACTAGCTTCTGACTGGGTGTGGTGGCTCACACCTGTAATCCCAGCACTTTGGGAGTCTGAGGTGGGGGAATCACTTGAGGTCAGGAGTTCCAGACCAGCCTGGCCAACATGATGAAACTTTGTCTCTACTAAAAATACAAAAAAATTAGCCCGGTGTGGTGGTGTGCACATGTAATCCTGGCTACTCGGGTGGCTGAGGCAGGAGAATCGCTTGAACCTGGGAGGCAGAGGTTGCAGTGAGCCAAGATCATACCACTGCACTCCAGACTGAGCAACAGAGAGAGATTCTGTCTCAAAAATAAATAAATAAATAAATAAATAAATAAATAAATAATCGTATTAGCTTCTACCTAAGAAATTAGCAAACCAAGCAAGTTAAAATAAGCATAACAAAGGAAATAATGAGAAGATTAGAAATCGTGAAATAGAGAAAAGCACAGAATGGAGAAAAATAATTGAAACATGAGCTAATTCTTTGAAAAGATCAATAAAAGTGATCCTCTAGCCAGACTGATCACAAAGTAACGAGAGAAAGCTCAGATTACCTGTGCCAGGAGTGATAACTTCACTATAGATCTTAATAGATATTAAGAGTAATGAAAGAATAGTAGAAACAGCTTTATGTCATGACATTTTACAACTTAGATGAGTTGGACAAATTCTTTGAAAGATACAAACTACCAAACAAAGCTCACCCAAGAAGAACTAGTAACCTGAATACTCCTATATCTGTTAAAGAAGTCAAATTCGTAGTTTAAAAGCTTAACACAAGCCTGGGCATGGTTGCGCATGCCTGTAGTCCCAGCTGTTGGGAGACTGAGGTGGGAGGATCACTTGAGCCTGGAAGTTCAAGGGTGTAGTCTGCTATTATCATACCTGAGAATAGTCACTGCAGCCTGGGCAACATAGCAAGAACCCACCTCTTAAACAACAACAACAAACAAACAAACAAAAAACAATGCAAAGACGCAAAACAAAACCTTAGCTTAGGAAATTCCAGGCCTTAATGGTTTCATTGGCAAATTCTGCCAAACATTTCAGGAAACAAACCAATAATTTCACATAAATTATTCCAGGAAATAGAAGTGGGATAAACACTTCCCAACGTGTAAGGCCAGCATTACACCGACATCAGAACCCAGAAACAACATTACGAGAAACTGTTGGCTAATAGCTCTAGAACATAGATGTAAAAATCCTTAAAAAAAAATTAACAAATCTAATTTAGCATTAGAAAATATTAACAAATCTAATTCAGCATATGGAAAAGAATACATTATGACCAAGTGGCATGTATCCCAGGAATGCAAGATAGGTTTAACATTAGAAAATTCATCATATGTACAGTCTAGAAAAGAAGAACAATATGATAATTTCAATAGATGCAGGAAAAGCATTTGATATAATTCAACATACATCTGTAAACTCATGGTAAACTAGGAACAGAAGGAAACTTCCTTAATGTGATAGGACCTCTACAAAATACTACAAGTAGCACACTTAATGGTGAAAGACTTAATGTTTTCCCCTTGAGACTGGAAAAAAGATAAGAGGCTAGGTGTAGTGACTCATGCCTATAATCCAGCACTTTGGGAGGACGAGGCAGGAGGACCACTTGAATCTAGGAGTTCAAGACCAGCCTGGGCAACATAGAAAGACCCTGTAGCTACAAAAATTTAAAAACTAGCCAGGTGTAATGATTCACACCTATAGTCTCAGCTACTTGAGAGGATTGCTTGAGCCTGGGAGGTCAAGGCTGCAGTGAGTTATGATTCTGCTATTGCACTCCAGCCTGGGCAACAGGGAGATCCTGTAACACACACACACACACACACCAGAAATTAAAAGAAAATAAATTGATGATATATATAATACTCTGGATTATAAGATTCAACATTGTAAGAATGTCACTTTCAAATTCATCTCTAGATTCATGGAATTCTCAAGCAAAATCCCAGCAGATATTTCTGATTCTAACTTACATGGAATACAAAGGGCCTAGGATAATTGAAACTTTTGGGGAAAAAAGGATAAAACCGTGGGACTATGTTGCCTGATTTTAGTACTTATACAGAAATCAAGAAAGCGTGGCATTGGTGTAGGTATAGACTTACAGATTCTTTTTTTTTTTTTTTTGGTGACAGAATTTCACTCTTGTTGCCCAGGCTGGAGTGCAATGGTATGGTCTCGACTCAGTGCAACGTCCACCTCCCGGTTTCAAGTGATTCTTCTGCCTCAGCCTCCCGAGTAGTTGGGATTACAAGCACCCGCCACCATGCCTGGATAATTTTTGTATTTTTAGTAGAGATGGGGTTTCACCATGTTGGCCAGGCTGGTCTTGAACTCCTGATCTCAGGTGATCCTCCCACCTTGGCCTCCCAAAGTGCTGGGGTTACAGGCATGAGCCACCACACCCGGCCTTGTAGACTTACCTATTAAGGAAATAAAAGTGAGAGCCCAGAAATAGACTCATACATATATCATTGTTGATTGTCTACAAAGATGCCGTTGTCATTCTGTGGAGGAAAAGATATTTTCAACAAATAATGCTAGAAAAAGTGGATATCTATATGCAAAATATGAATCCAAACCCTTATACAGTATACAAAAACTAACTTGAAATAGTTCATAGACTTAAATGTAACAGTGAAAAATATAAAATGTGGACAAAAGCAGAAAATTCTCACAACTTGGGGGCAGGCAAAGGTTTCTAAGGACACAAAAAGCATGAATAAAGAAAAAATGGTAAATTGGACTTAATTGAAATAATTTTGCTCTTCAGAAGAGCTTGCTATGAGGATGAAAGGTAAGCTAGACTGAAAGAAAATATTTGAGAGCTATTTATCTAATTAAGAATTTGTACCCAGAAACTTGTAAATAGCTCTTATAAATCGATAAGAAGACAAAAGCAACCTGATGATTAAAAAAGTGGGCAAAAGATTTGAACAGATACTTTAGCAAAGAAGATGTGAATATTAAATAAGCACTTGAAAAGATGTTTAAGATTGGCTGGGCATGGTGGCTTATACCTGTAATCCCAGCGCTTTGGAAGGCCAAGGAGGGAGAATCGCTTGAGCCCCAGAGTTTGAGACCAGGCTGGGCAATGTAGTGAGACCTTGTCTCTACAAAAACATTTTAAAAATTAGCCAAATATGGTGGCATGCACCTATAGTCCTAGTTACTCAGGAAGCTGAGGTGGGAGAGTCACTTGAGTCCAGGAGTTCAAGCTTACAGTAAGCTATGATCACACCACTGCACTCCAGCTTGGGTGACAGAGCCAGAGCAAGACTCTGTCTCAGGGAAAAAAAAATGCTCAAGAAATAATTAGTTACCAGAGAAACCCAAATTAAAATCCCAAAGAGATATTACTACACACCAACTAGCATGTTAAAAATAAAAAGTGATCATGCTAAATATTGGCAAAGGATGTGGAACAACTAGAACTTTCACACATTGCTAACGTATATCTATAGTCAAGTGTTTGAAACAAATACTCGTGTCACATGCAAAGGATATATCTCTAGAATTACAGAAAAAATTGGAATCTATTTCCATGATACCCTGACAGTCCCTTTATCTCTAAAAGCCAGTTTTAGTGAGTGATAGTTATAGGACTTCATTACCTTCAGTGAACTACAGATTAGAGAAAATCTAAAATATTCAGTATACAATAAATGTGGTCTAGGATGTTCTTCTGCTTATATGCCTGAGTTTTTGTCACTTAGGCTATAACTAAGAATCTGTGGTAACACACTGCCATTTTCATCTAAGCATTAACAAATGCCTTTTTTTTTTTTTTTTTGAGCTAGAGTCTTATTCACTCTGTCACCCCGGCTAGAGTACAGTGGCACAATCATGGGTCACTGCAGCCTCAAACCTCTGGGCCTAAGCGATCCCCCTGCCTTAGCCTCCTGAGGTGCTGGGACTACACGCACACACCACTGAGCCTGGCTAATTTTTACTTTGTTTTTTTTTTTTAGAGATGGGGTCTCACTATGTTGCCCAGGCTGATAATGAACTTCTGAATTCAAGCAATCCTCCTGCCTCAGCCTCTCAAAAATGCTAGGATTACAGACATGAGCTACTACCACATCCAGCCTCTTTTTTGAAGATTTTTAAAAAGTGAAAATACTTCCTAGTAAAGAAGTCTATTTTGGAGCCACCATAATATTGAAAGTGTGTGCCTGCCCTTAAATAATGTTTCTGGGCTGGGCGCCATGGCTCACGCCTGTAATCCTAACAGTTTGGGAGGCCAAGGCAGGCAGGTTGCTTTAGTTCAGGAGTTCGAGACCAACCTGGGGAACATGGTGAAACTGCGTCTCTACCAAAAGTACAAAAATTACCTGAACATGGTGGTGCATGCTTGTAGTCATTAAAGGCATAAGCCACCATGCCCAGCCCAGAATTATTTTCAACTAGGAAACAAAAGACTTCAGATTTAGAAAAATAGGTACCGGTCATTGAATCTTTGCTTGGAATAGTTGTTATGACTCTCAGGGATGTGTTATAATTTTATGCTCCAAGAAGTAAAAGAATTAGGTGTAAATATGACAGATGAGATGTATGCTCTTTTAGAACAGTTAAATTACTTTGCATCTTGAGGAGTCAAACAATCTGAGGAATTAGTTACGTTGGATTGCAGAAAATAGGCAGCTTGCTAATTACCAAGATAAATGAATGAATATATTCTTTATAACTCTATTGAAATACTTGTTTAATATTGTTGAGGGATAGGTTTCTTTTTGGTTTTTTGTTTTGTTTTGTTTTTGTTTGTGTTTTGAGACAGAGTCTCACTCAGTAGTTTTAGCTCAGCTCATTGCAACCTCTGCCTCCCGGGTTCAAGTGGTCCTCCTGCCTCAGCCACCTGAGTAGCTGGGATTATAGGCATGTACCACCACGACCAGCTTAATTTTTAATTTTCTTTTTCTTTTTTTTTTTTTTTTTGAGATGGAGTTTCGCTCTGTCACCCAGGCTGGAGTGCTGTGGCACAATCTCGGCTCACTGCAAGCTCCGCCTCCTGGGGTCACGCCATTCTCCTGCCTCAGCCTCCCGAGTAGCTGGGACTACAGGCGCCCACCACCACACCCAGCTAATTTTTTGTATTTTTAGTAGAGACGGGGTTTCACCGTGTTAGCCAGGATGGTCTCCATTTCCTGACCTTGTGATCCGCCCATCTCGGCCTCCCAAAGTGCTGGGGTTACAGGCGTGAGCCACCGCACCCTGCCTATTTTTTAAGTTTTTAGTAGAGATGGAGTTTCAGCATGTTGGCCAGGCTGGTCTTGAACTCCTGACTCAAGCAGTCCTCCTATCTCGGCCTCCCAAAGTGCTGGGATTACAGGCGTGAGCCACCATGCTCGGCCCAGAGGGCAGCTTAATAATGCCATTCTTACAAAATAGAGCAGTTCTTACTACATGAAACAAAAAAGATTTCTAATACACAAGAAATACTGTACTATACATATAGTTTTACTATGTCAAAGTAAGGTACTTACGTAAATAAATAATCTATTTTATGATTATGTATATGCACAGGTATAGATTGGATTTTTAATTCTTTAATTTTGGGATTTTTAGAAAGTATTTGAAAAGACCAAGTTAGTGTTATATTTAGTGCAAATTAATTGAGTAAAACCATTCAGCTGTCTTGTTTGAAATATTAATAGTTTTGCTACTTTATTCTTTAAGCATATGTTCAGAAATACTTCGTATCTGTGGGTGGACTGGATGTATTGTCTCAAGTTCTCGTGCAACTGGAATCTGATTCACATGAGACTCTTTCCAGTGCTAAACTTGCAGTGGTTGTGACAAAGACTGTGGATGCATGCATTGCTGATAATCGTGAGTGACAGTGCTTACTAGTTTTTTTTGAAATTGAATTTTCTTTGAATATAGCATGAAGAGTGTTGAAATAGTAGATTGAACAGTAACATGGTTTAGACTAACAGTTTCTCACAAGTGGAAGGGAATATTAGAAATTATCCAACATGGCCAGGCGCAGTGGCTCATGCCTGTAATCCCAGCACTTTGGGAGGCTGAGGCGGGCAGATGGCTTGAGGTCGGGAGTTCAAGACCAGTGTGGCCAACATGGTGAACCCTCGTCTCTACTAAAAATACAAAAATTAGCCGAATGTGGTGGTGAGTGCCTGTAATTCCGGTTACTTAGGAAGCTGAGGCAAGAGAATCACTTGAACCCAGGAGGTGGAGGTTGCAGTGAGGGAGCTGAGATCATGCCACTGCACTCCAGCCTGGGCGACAAGTGCAAAACTCTGTCTGGAAAAAAAAGGCAACATTAAATTAAAAATTTCAGGCTGTGTATGGTGGCTCACACCTGTAATCCCAGCACTTTGGGAGGCCAAGATGGGAGGATTGCTTGAAGCCAGGAGTTTGAGACCAGCTTGGTCAACATAGCAAGACTCCATCTCTCAAAAAAAAAAAAAAAAATAAATAATAATAATATTCAGATGAGAAACCAAGGGATATTTTTGAGATTAAGGAATGGAAAACCCAATTTATGTAAAGAATACATCTCTTTCTGCTAAGTATGAGGTTGGACTTACCCAACACAGCATTACTAGTGAGTGGCAGAACCATACTTGAACTCATGGCTGCTGCTTCTCACATGTGCAAACACTGAAGAGTAAGAAACTCTATTGGTATTCACAAACAACTAGGGGGCAAAAAATAGATGGTTTTTTAAAAAGTGGTTATTGAGGGCCTGCTATGTGCTGAGCTTTACAAGTACAAAAATGACTAAGATGTAGTCCCTTGAGGAATTCACAACTTTTTTGTTGATATTAATATTGTTAGACTCTGGGTGAATTCTGTTGAAAGCCACACTTGGAGAAATATAGCTTAAAATGGTGGACTTTTTTTTTTTTTTTTTTTTTTGGGGTTTTTTTTTTTTTTTTTTTTTTTTTTTTTTTTTTTTTTTTTTTTTTTTGAGATGGAGTCTCACTCTGTTGCCCAGGCTGGAGTGCAGTGGTGTGATCTTGGCTCACTGCAAGCTCTGCCTCCTGGGTTTAAGTGATTCTCCTGCCTCAGCCTCCTGAGTAACTGGTACTACAGGTGCCCACCACCATGCCCGGCTAATTTTTTGTGTGTGTTTTTAGTAGAGACAGGGTTTCACCGTGTTAGCCAGGATGGTCTCCATCTCCTGACCTCGTGATCCACCTGCCTCAGCCTCCCAAAGTGCAGGGATTGCAGGCGTGAGCCACCGCGCCTGGCCAAAAAATGGAGGACTTTTTGACTTTTGTCAGTCTCAGCATAGCTTCGCATAAGCTTCATTGTAAGCAAAACTGTGGTCAGTTAATAGTGTATTTTAAATGACAGCAGGAACTGATTATGTAGGAAAGTCTTTACTATCCAATCTAGATAAGAAGAGGTAGGTAAGGGGAGAGTAAGCATACTTAGCCTTTAGGAAGTTAGTGGTACTTCATCTTCACAGCATTCTGCAGAACAATTAAGAAAAAAAATTCTTCGAAAAATTTGCTTTAGTAATATGTCTTTAGTATGGGAAGAAAGAGTAATGAGGGTTATAGTAATAAGCAACCATCTTATTACAATGAATTTATTTATATTTTATTTATATTCACACATACACATATTTATTAGATGTTATATGTGTATATTTAATGTTATATAGATATATAACATTCTATCTGAATAAGCTGAAAAATGTATATATACATTTATAAGTTTTAAATTTGTACTATCTTTTTTCCTATTTTATACTAATAGCTACTTTTGGGATAGTACTCTCCAAGTACCACATTGTTTCAAAACTTCTGGCATTACTGCTTCATGAAAGTCTGGATTCAGGAGAAAAATTTAGCATCATGCTTACTCTTGGTCATTGCACAGAGGATTGTGGTAAGTATTGGATTTATTGTGTGTGGTTATTAAAATAGTAGAGTGGAAATATACTTTTATTTTTTTCCTTCCAGTCATGTGAAGGTCTTAAAAGTATTGCTTTTCTCCTAGTTATTCAGACCTCAAACTAATCATTTCAGCTTCTAATTCTCCTTCACTCATTGTATTAAGTCAGTCATTAAGACCTGTAGTTCTACTTCTGTTTACCCCTCTTGATCCCTTTCTGTCCAGTTCCAATGCTGCTCTTCTACAGTAGGCCCTCAAACCCATATCTTTCATCAATATTATTGCAGTGGTTTTCTCACTACAGCACAGGGAGAAAGCTCCTTCCCTTCTATCTTCATTTTTCAGTCCACTCTGCACATTGCTGCACAAATCTGATTCTGTTCTCCTTGTTAAAACTTTCAAAGATTCTTTCTTTTTCTACCTATTACTGTCTTCTCTCTCTTTTTCTTCTCCCCCTTTTACTTTCCTCCTCCTCTACTTTCCTCCCATTCTCCCTCTGTTCAATCTACTCCTTCTTACCAATTCTCTCCACTTCCCTCTCTACCCCTCTCTCTTCTTCTGATCTCGTGTCTCTGCTCTTTCAGCTCTCACTTTTCCACTCTCCTCCCTTTGCTCTCTCTTGCTTCTCCCATTCTTTCTTCCTTCCCCTACACTTTCTACTCCCTCCGTTAGTTTATCTATTCTTTCCCTTAACTTCTGTGTAATTTAGGATTGATTATACCCTTTTTCAAACCAAGTGAGGGCAGTTTTACCCTTATGAGTTATGATACTACTCTGTGGCTGCATTTCAGAGATCACTTATGAGACAGGTGTTTTGTGTAAGTGAATTTTTTTTTTTTTTTTTGAGACGGAGTTTTGCTCTTGTTGCCCGGATTGGAGTGCAATGGCACAATCTTGGCTCACTGCAACCTCCGCCTCCCAGGTTCAAGCAATTCTCCTGTCTCAGCCTCCCAAGTAGCTGAGATTACAGGCATGCACCACCACGCCTGGCTAATTTTGTATTTTTGGTAGAGATGAGGTTTCTCCATGTTGGTCAAGCTGGTCTCGAACTCCCGACCTCAGGTCATCTGCCCGCCTCGGCCTCCCAAAGTTCTGGGATTACAGGCATGAGCCACTGAGCCCGGCCTTAAGTGAATTATTTTCTATATTAAAAATCCTTTTGGGGGCTAGATGTGGTGGCTCACGCCTGTAATTCCAGCACTTTGGGAGGCTGACATAGGCAGATCACGAGGTCAGGAGTTCGAGACCAGCTTGGCGAGCATGTTGAAACCCTGTCTCTACTAAAAATACAAAAAATTAGCTGGGCACGGTGGTGCGCACCTGTAGTCCCAGCTACTCGGGAGGCTGAGGCAAGAGAATTGCTTGAACCCGGCAGGCGGAGGTTGCAGTGAGCCGAGATCACGCCACTGCACTCCAATCAGAGTGACAGAGCGAGACTCCCTCTCAAAAAAAAAAAAAAAAAAAATTCCTTTTGAAACTATGTGTTTCTCTATTTTAAAAATTTGTTGTTGTCGTTGTATTTTTGTTTTTTGAGACAAAGTCTCACTCTGTTGCCCAGACTGAAATGCAATGGCTGGACCTTGGCTCACTGCAGCCTCCACCTCCCAGGTTCAACTCAATTTCCTGAGAAGTTGGGATTACAAGTGCCTGCCACCATGCCTGGCTAATTTTTTTGCATTTTTTGTAGAGACCGGGTTTTGCCATGTTGGCTAGGCTGGTCTTGGACTCCTGACCTCAAGTGATCCACCCATCTCAGCCTCCCAAAGTGCTGGGATTACAAGAGTGAGCCACCGTTCCTGGCCTATTTTTAAAATTTTGAACTATGTTCATAATTATCACAAGGAAGAATTATGACCTCATATAGATAGTTTATGATAAAATCATTGTCCTCTTTAACTGTGTGTTTTCCAGAGGAAAATCAGTATGACCTTTTTAAAAACAATGGGCTTCCACTCATGATTCAAGCCTTAACTGAATCTCAGAATGAGGAACTGAACAAAGCTGCCACATTTGTGCTTCACAACTGCAAAAAAATTAGTAAGTGTACTATTACTTTAAGAACATACCAACCAAAGTTTATAAAGGGGAATTTATATCTGCTTTCATGAGCCAAGGCCTTTTAGCTCTCAGATTCTTCTTACATTTGAAAAGCAGAGTAGGCCCTGCACAGTGGCTCATGCCTGTAATCCCAGCACTTTGGGAGGCCAAGGCAGGCAGATCACTTGAGTCCAGGAGTTCAAGACCAGCCTGGGCAACATGGAGAAACTCTGTCTCTATTTTAAAAAAAAAAAAAAAAGAAAGAAAAAATTATCTGGCCTGGTGGCACACGCCTGCCAGCTACTTGGGAAGCTAAGGTAGAAGGATCATCTGAGCTCAGGAAGTGCTCAGGTTGAGGTTACAGTGAGCTGTGTTTGCACCACTGCCCTCCACCCTGGCTCATATAGTAAGACCCTGTCTCAAAAAAAAGTCAGAGTGTATAATTTGGACATGACAACTAGGGTATATTCAGCATATACAAACCCATGTGGAAGAGAGCAGCAGTATAGATAATTCACTATTTTATGCCATGTGCACAAATTTAGTTTGCAGGAATTAAATTTGTGGACTAAGGGTTATTTATTGTTAAATCGTAAGTACATTTATTTATTTTTAAATGTCTGGGCTGGGCGCGGTGGCTCACGCCTGTAATCCCAGCACTTTCAGAGGCCTAGGCAGGCGGATCATGAGGTCAGGAGTTCGAGACCAGCCGGGCCAACATGGTGAAACCCCATCTCTACTAAAAATACAAAAAAAATTAGCCAGGCATGGTGGCGCACACGTGTAGCCCCAGCTACACGGGAGGCTGAGGCAGAAGAATTACTTGAACCCCGGAGGCAGAGGTTGCAGCAAGCCGAGATCATGCCACTGCACTCCAGCCTAGGCGACAGAGCAAAACTCCGTCTCAAAAAAAAAAAAAGTTTGAGTTTCTGTTATGTGCTGGGCAGTGTGCTAGGCATCAGGGACATCAGGGATACAGTGATAAAAAAACAGTCTGTGTATTCACAGAGCTTAGTTTAACTAGAGAAATAGACAGTAACTCAAAAAATGAGATTATGTGTTATTATAAATTGACATAAGAAGTATAAGGGGATAGACCACAGGTCTTTAATAGCCTGTAACAAAGAAATCTGGTCTAGACGTGGAGCAGAAAAGGCTTTGGGAGGAAGTGATTCTTGAGCTGAGAACTGAATGTCTAGGGTTAATTAGGTGAAAAGAAAGGAATTTGTTATCAGCGAGCATCTCAGGCATAAGCAACAGTGAGGCACAAAGGCCCTGTGATAGGAGGGAACCTGGTGCACTTAAGGAATTGATGGCCAGTGTAGCTTGAGCTCAGAGGGCAGTGGCCATGATAAGAATTTTGATCTTTGTGGAAGAAAAACTGCAGACACAGTATGTTAAAAAAAAAAAAAAGATTATAGGAAGGAATCAATTTATGAACATTGTTTTTTTAAAAAACTACTTTATTTTTGAGACAAAGTCTCAGTTTGTCACCGGGGCTAGAGTGCAGTGGTGCAATCTCTGTTCACTGCAGCCTCTGCCTCCTGGGTTTGAGGGAGTCTTGTGCCTCACCCTCCGGAGTATCTGGTATCTGGTACTACAGGTGCGTGCCACGATGCCTGGCTAATTTATTTATTTATTTTTTTTTTAGAAGAGGCGGAGTTTCACCATATTGGCCAGGCTGGCCTTGAGTTCCTGACCTCAAGTGATCCTCCTGCCTCGGCGTCCCAAAGTGCTAGGATTACAAGTGTGAGCCACTGTGCCCGGCCTAAAAAGCTAACTACTTTAAAACCAGTATGCATGTACCTGAGAGCCTTTATGTGCCTGGCATAACATATTTGCATGTTTTTTCTCCTGTAACTCTGAAGAGTAAAGTCTAATTTATGACTGTTCTCTTCCACTTACTTTTCAGTACTAATTAAGCTGTTAAGATAGTCTGGATGGAAAAATTTAGAGAAAGGAGAGGGTGGGGTGTGAGGTTGTCCTTACATATAAAGTGTTTAAATAACCTTTCATTCGTTGTGTTTTTCCCATATTACAAAGCTGAGAAATTATCTCTAAGTCTAGGAGAATATCCTTTTGATGAAAATGAAACACAGCAATTAAAAGACATAAATGTGAAAGAGAAGAATCTTGAAGAGCACTGGAGGAAAGCAAAGGAAATTCTACACAGAATAGAGCAGCTTGAAAGAGAAGGAAATGAGGTTGGATTCTTTGTTTTAAAGAATATATAGAACTTTTTTCACATTTTTAAAATGTCTTTTTTTCTCCATACTACAGTGACATATACATTTAAAAAAATTTTTTTTTGAGACAGAGTCTTGCTCTGTTGCCCAGGCTGGAGTGCAGTGACGCGATCTTGGCTCACTGCAACCTCCGCCTCCCAAGTTCAAGTGATTCTCATGCCTCAGCCTTTCAAGTAGATGTGCGCCACCACACTCGGCTAATTTCTTTGTATTTTTAGTAGAGACAGGGTTTCCTCATGTTGGCCAGGCTGGTCTTGAACTCCTGACCTCAAGTGATCTGCCTGCCTTAGTCTCCCAAAATGTTGGGAATACAGGTGTGAGCCACCATGCCCAGCTGATATTTTTTAACAGTAGAGATTGGAAGGTGAAAAATTTTTTCTTCCCAAGTTGTTTTTTAAAGTTTTAAATAGAAAACTCCATAGTAATACTTGAAGAATCATGCTTTGACATAAAACAAAAAAAAGATTTTTAAAAAGTAGAAATGATGACTGAAAAGACAGGAAACATGGAATATTGAGCCAAGAGATCTAACATCTGAATAATTGGGGTTCAAGAAAAGAGAAAAGTAGTAATAATCTAATAACCTCTTTCCTCTCTATATAAATATATTTATGTATGCATACTTTATGTCTTTGTATATGCATATATTTAAAAAAATAAAAACGTAGTGTCCAAGTTAGTATAATATAGTGATTTTATTATTTTAATTGTCTGAGTAGTATTCACTGTTGCAGATGTGCCATAATTGATTTAACCAGTCCTTTATTGATGGACATGTAAGTTATATTTAAATTTTTACCATTGCAAACAACTCTAAATACCTGCTACACATGTACCTGTGTGTGTGTGTGTATGTGTGTGTGTGTGTGTGTATTCTGTAACAGCTTTAATGATATATAATTCACAAACCTTACAGTTCACCCATTTAAAGTACAGTCAACCCTTGGTATCTATGGGGGATTGGTTCCAGGACCTCCCACAGATCCCCAAATTCATGGATGCTGGAAACTTTAGGGGAAGTTTAGGCAAGTTATTTAATCTCTTTGTGCTTTAGTTTCATCATTGATAAATGGAGAAAATAATAGTACCTCTCAGATACCTAGATAGACATAGTTTTTATTATGAAAGATACTGTCAAATTGTTTCGCCACAGAAGTTATATCAACTTACACTCCCACTAGTAATGTTTAAGAGTACATATTTCACCACAGCCTTTTGATCTTTGTCAGTGTAATAGATGAAGAAAAATATCTCAGTGTAGCTTTAATATTTATTTATCTCAAGTGGGATGGGACATTTTTTCTTGTGTTTAAGAGCTATTTATATTTCCTTTCCTATAAACTATCTGTTCATCTTCTGTGCCTGCTTTTCCGTGCTATCATTGATCTTTTTCATATTTCATTGTAGTAACTTTTTATAAATGTTATTTTTAAAAATTATCCTTCAGCTTGGGCAACATGGCAAAACCCTGTGTCTACAAAAAATACAAATTAGCCAGGTATGATGGTGTATGCCTGTGGTCCCAGCTACTCAGGAGACTGAGGTGGGAGGATTGCTTCAGCCCAGGAAGTCGAGGCTGCAGTGAGCTGTGATCATTGCCACTGCACTCCAGGCTGGGTAACAGAGCAAGACCCTGTCTCAAAAAAAAAAAAAATATATATATATATATATATATCTCCTGTTGCTTAAGATATGCTTTATACATATTATTTCTGGGTGTTTTGATTGTCATTTGGTTTTGCTTCTGGTTCTTTACTCCTGAGATCCCTGCCCAGAGTAACGTTTTTGATCTCTAGCAGAATTTAAAAAAAAAAAATTTATGTGGTTGAGTATAATAGTTTTCTTTTATTATTTAATTTTGGGTAATACTTTGAAAGGTCTTATACCCCTTGAGAATATTAAAATATAATGGTTTCTTTTAGAACATATATGACTTTGTTTTTGTATTTAAATATATTTGTTTCATTTTGACTTTATCTTTGTATAAGCTGTAAGATATTCAACTTATTTTTTCACCAGATGGCTACTCAATTGTCCCAATATCGTTTAATGAATAAACTCCCTTTTCTTCCTAATGTAAACTGTCTTTTATCATATATGTTCTATTGGTAATCATAAACTTTTTCTTCATTCTTCATTATTTAAATGGAGTATAAATTGGGTTATAAAGGGAATGCATTATATTGAAATTATTTCTTGTCATTTTTACACTATAGGAAGAAATACAAAGAGAAAACTGTCAGGGTAATATTTCATCTATGAACATGAGTATTCAGAATACATGGAAACATCTCCATGCAGATCATATTGGTCGAGCTACCAAAGCAGAAGATGAGGATAAAAGCCATTCTAGACAGTTTCAGAGTTATAAGTCCCATGGAGTCATGTCTAAAGCATGTACAAATGATGACCAAATGAAGACACCATTGAAGAGTGCAAATCCAGTCCATGCTTGTTATAGGGAGAGTGAGCAAAATAAGTCTTTATATAAAGCCAAGTCAAGCTGCAATCAAAACTTACGTGAAGAAACTACTTTTGAAAAGAATTTTATTTCTCAATCAAGGTATAGTTTAATAATTATGTGTAACTTTTATTTATTCAGCGAGTATTTATTGTGTACTACAGTATGCCACACTGTTAAATACCTGGCATATAGAAATGACATGATGAAACACGGTCTTGGGAAGAGCGTAAAGTAGGAAGTGTTGGGAAAGGGGTTTGGATGGGGAGGTATGGGCCAGTTCATCTAGAGCCCTGCAATGTAATACTCTGGATTTTGGGGTTTAACTCACAGGGTATAGGGAGTGCTTGAGGATTTTAAATTAAGTGGCGTAACATAGTTGAATTTTAGAAAGGGTACTCAGAAAATAAAACCTAAACGGAAACCCTTTACTTGAAGTAACAATGCATGCATTGATAATCTATCAGCAGTATAGCAAAAACTAGTTTTTAAATTTAATGTGATAAAGGGAATAGGATGTGAATAAAATTTGGTTTGGGTTTGCCCTTTTGTTTGTTCCCTGCACTTTGTCTCTAGAACATAGTCTTTTTCCCTTGCAGTTAGTTTGTGGGGCTAGACCCGGGATTGTAGCTTTTCTTAAACCCTTTACTGGGTTGTGCTCTTCTGATGGTTACAGTACTTAGGAAAAATGAAGAGGATGCTGCTACATTTTGGACAGGTTGAAGGGTAAACTAAGTACCAAGAAGAAGGGTTACATCAATACCACCCCTTTTATCTGTTTCAAGACCATTCTTGATGTTAATTTTAACTTGATTTCTCAGGTATGGGAATTGGGAAGCAGTAAGATATGGTCCTGGGCCAGCCTTCTTGACCTCCATCCTAAGCTTTCCACACCCATAGCCTTCTTTCTTCTATAGGGTTAGCCATATTTCCTTTTTTTTTTTTTTTTTTTAAAGAGAGAGAGAGAGAGTTTCGCTCTTGTTGCCCAGGCTGGAGTGCAATGGCGCGATCTCAGCTCACTGTAACCTCCACCTCTCAGGTTCAGGTGATTCTCCTGCCTCAGCCTCCTGAGTAACTGGGATTACAGGCATATGCCACCACGCCCGGCTAATTTTTTGTATTTTTAGTAGAGATGGGGTTTCTCCATGTTGGTCAGTCTGTTCTCGAACTCCTGACCTCAAGATCTGCCCGCCTCAGCCTCTCAAAATGCTGGGATTACAGGTGTGAGCCACTGCACGCGGCTAGGGTTAGCCATATTTCTACCTCAGCCAAGTTATTAATATTTTCATCTCTTTGAAATGCTTTTTTCCTCCTACAAATATATGTACATAGACAGATAGCTGTAATTATAAAGCTACTGCTATGCCTGCTACCTGATCTACAGTTCTTGCCTTTTTCTGTACTATTATCATTGTGACAGTATAATCAAAACTTGTATTTATTCATCAAGGACTACAGGGTTCAAACACACAAATGTTTTGGGGGTTAGGAAGGATTTTTAAATTCAGGTCTTTAAATGATTATTGTTAGCACTTTGCCATCCTGCACCCATGTTCATTTTTGCTCCCACTGATTTTGTTATCTCCTTTTTGCCTTCATCTCTCCTACTTCCTTCTTTTTATAATCTTTTTCTTCCAAGTTTCATCTGGCATCAATACTATTGCCCTCTGGAGTCTTATTTGACTCTAGCTCTAGAAACAAGGCTTTAATTGTTGCAGGCCCTACTTTGGCAGAATTTGGTAGATTTTGGTCGATCATGATTCCAGGTTGCTTTTGCCCATAAAACTCTGAAAATCACAACACTGCTTACAGAAACATTGGTCCACACACCAAAGAGTATGTTTACTTTTAGTAATCTGGTGTTTATTTTCTTTTAGTGACCATGTTTTTAAACACCCCGTTCACATTGCCAAAAATATAAAGCAGCAGTTACCAGTAACAGGTATGATTAAAAATGTTTCTTTGGTTTTTCAATAAAACAGATATTTAGGTAACCATATAGCTAAAAATGTACATTGGCTGCGTGCAGTGGCTCACGCCTGTAATCCCAGCACTTTGGGAGGCCTAGGTGGGCAGATCACCTGAGGTCAGGAGTTCAAGACCAGTTTGGCCAGCATGGTGAAACCCCCATCTCTACTAAAAATACAAAAATTAACCAGGCGTGGTGGTGGGCACCTGTAATCCCAGATACTCAGGAGGCTGAGGCAGGAAAATTGCTTGAACCCAGGAGGCAGAGGTTGCAGTGAGGTGAGATCACACCACTGCACTCCAGCCTGGGCGACAGAGTGAGACTCCATCTCAAAAAAAAAAAAAGTCCATTGGTATATTGGCCCTCTAAAGTATAAGCCATACCTTTGACTCTTTCTGTTGTAAATCCCTTCTATTAAGATCCAGAATCTTTCTGTTTATTCACCAGCATGACTAGAGGCATAGTACTAGGCTAAGGTTTATGAAAAGCTTGATATTTAATAAATCCTTAAAATATCTGATTCTTTTCATTAATCCAAAAATCCTTCATTTTGCAATTTTTTTCCAGATCCATTTACATTATGTTCAGATATAATAAATAAAGAAGTAGTCAGTTTTCTAGCAACTCCCAGTTGTTCCAAAATGTTGACGTATAGGTGCTCAGGTAAGTATTTTTTTAATTGCAGTTGTTTCACAGTAAAAGCCTTTTATGATATTAATTAACTACAATTTTTTTTTTTTTTTTTTGATACGGAGTCTCACTCTGTCACCCAGGCTGGAGTGAAGTGGCAAGATCTTGGTTCACTGCACTCTCCATCTCCCAGGTTCAAGCAATTCTCATGCCTCAGCCTCCCAAGTAGCTGGGATTACAGGTGCTCACCACCACACCTGGCTAATTTTTTTTTGTTTTTTTGTTTTCGTAGAGACAGGGTTTCACCATGTTGATCAAGCTGATCTTGAACTCCTGACCTCAAATGATCTGCCCGCCTCAGCTTCTCGAAGTGCTGGGATTACAGACATGAGACACTGCGCTTATTGTAATTAAGTAGAATTTATAATAATTCTACGCATATGATTTACTTTGTTCCCTTTGGAGAAATAATATTGTGGAGTATCAAAGCATTCAAATTAATATCTTCTATCTGGGCCAGGTGAGGCAGCTGTAATCTCAACACTTCGGAAGGCCAAGGCTGGAGGATTTCTTGAGGCCAGGAGTTCAAAACCAGCATGGTCAACACAGCGAGACCTTGTCTCTGTAATTAAAACAAAACAAAACAAAACAAAACACCTTTTATCAGCATCAGGCTGAGCTTCCAATATTTGTATGTATGAATCAACACAGTTAGTACCTTTTTATTACTTTATTACCTTTTTGTCATAATACCATCTATAAATTTAACCTTACTGAGTAAACATTTTTTAATGTTTTCAGAGAACCAGTTATTACTAGGTATGCATTCTGGATTATCCTGTAAACATAGGCATTAAGTTTTTAAAATACCTATTTTTATATTTATAATATGTAAATGTTTCTAGTGTTTCATGTCCATTATTTATTTTTTCTGCAGGGCTCTTGTAAATGTTCCATAATACTTATTCCATCCCTTCTCCTCCTCCTTCCCAGCCTGGTATTTCCTCTTTGTTCATCTTGCTGTTGTACTGTGCTCTATGGACGAAATTGAGGTTCTCTGTATTCGGCCCAGAACATCATTGTTCTTCCCTCTTGGATGAAGAGGTTATCTCTATTCCTCTAAAACTGATGTGTAGCCATAAGCTGAATCCCATATCTTTTTTTCCTCCACATTTTAATACTAATTGCAAAATCTTTCTCTTTACTCCCATTCTATTCATTAACTCCTTTTGTTCCACCTTAAACTATGCTTGTTTCTCCTCATCTCAAAAAAATACCCAATAGAGCTGGGCGTGGTGGCTCACGCCTGTAATCCCAGCACTTTGGGAGGCCGAGGCGGGCGGATCACAAGGTCAGGAAATCGAGACCACGGTGAAACCCCGTCTCTACTAAAAAATACAAAAAATTAGCCGGGTGCTGTAGCGGGCGCCTGTAGTCCCAGGAGGCTGAGGCAGGAGAATGACGTGAACCTGGGAGGCGGAGCTTGCAGTGAGCCAAGATCGCGCCACTGCACTCCAGCCTGGGGGACAGAGCGAGACTCCGTCTCAACAACAACAACAAAAACAAAACAAAACAAAAAAAAAACACCCAATAGTTTGTTTGATTTGCTATCCTTTCAAGTATTCATTCACTCCTCTCAACAGATGCACGTATCCCATTAGAAAGTAAATGTATTAGGCCGGGTGCGGTGGCTCATGCCTGTAATCCTAGCACTTTGGGAGGCTGAGGCAGGTGGATTACCTGAGCTCAGGAGTTCAAGACCAGCCTCGTCAACACAGTGAAACCCTGTCTCTACTAAAATTCAAAAAATTAGCTAGGCATGGCAGCATGCGCCAGTAATCCCAGCTACTCGGGAGGCTGAGACAGGAGAATTGCTTGAACCTGGGAGGTGGAGGTTGCAGTGAGCTGAGATCATGCCATTGCACTCCAGCCTTGGCAACAGAGCAAGACTCTGTCTCCAAAAAAAAAAAAAGAAAATGTATTTAATATGAATAAAGTACAAATATTTCTTTCAATTTAATTGTATTATTTTTTAAAAGGCTACTAAGTTGTTAGAACATAAATACTTATTAAGTTGTTTTGGATCTGACAGAATCATTAGGCATTTCTTTTGGCTTATAGGTGCCATGAACCTAGAAAGTTTGGGAATCTCTGGTCAAAAGTATTCTAGGTGGCAGAGTGGATGTTCTGTAACTGCTAACCCCCTTTCATCTCTTAGTTTGTATGAGATGGTTCTTTCCTGGTTACCATTCATTCATTCCACAAACATTATGGAGTGCTTAGTCCTTGGCTGGCACTGGAATCTAAGATGAATAGAACTCAGTCTTCACCTTTATCTTTCTCTTCCTGCCAGATTTCCACATGTATTCTCCTCAAGACCTAGTCTATAGCACTTACTCAGTTCTTTCACTACATTTACTTTTGTAGCATCATCTATCATTTTATTGATGGTTTTCAAATATGTATCTTGACTTTTGGCTTCTAACCTGGGCCTTATTCTTTCATTTCCAGTAGTTCTCAGCACATACCCACTTGAATATCTTCTTGTTACTTTAAGCTTAATGTATCCTAAACACAACATCCACAGCATCTTTCTTCCTTTTAAATTGGCCTCCCCCCTCACTGCATTTCTGTCAGTGTTGCCACTATTTGTCTGGTCTCCCAGACTTTAAGCCTTGAATCATCCATGACTGTTCTCTCTCATTCCATCCGTTATTTCTAGTCTATCAAATTTTGTTCTTTTTTGCCACATAGGCCCTTTTCGTTTCATGCCTAAATTATCACAGCAATTTTATCTAGCAGTCTTTGTCTTAAGCATCTCCAACTCCCAACTATAATATGCATATCACTGTTAACTTATCTTCTTAATATGTGCTTTATCGTGTCATCATGCTAAACAACCCTCAGTGCTTCTCTGTAACCCATTGAATCAAGCTCTCTGCCTGGCTTTCAAAGTTGTATAGAATTTTGTCCTGCTTCCACTTGTAAAAATTTACTGTACATTTACTCTGAATCTGCTAGAAATGTGCTATGGTTATTTCAAACTTTGCCATTTATTCAAGTACTGAATTTCTTGAGAGTTATCCTAAACTGTTTCCCTTATCCCAACAGCTCATTATTCATCAAACCCTGCTAATTTTACATCAGAAATCTCTCCATTCTCCCTGCAAATGCCTTGTTTCAAAATCCCTTCATTTATTTTCTGGACTACTAAAGTAACCTCTCAACTGATCCTCTTGCGTTCAGGTGCCCTTTCTACAAGACAAATGAAATTGTGTCATCTTCCTGCTTTTATTTCTATGTTCCTCCCTGTTGCCTTGAAGAGAGTTAAAATTCCTTAACATGGTTTTCAAGATTCTTCTTGGTCTGGTTCCCTGCAACCCTCCCCAGCCCCACCTTTTCTCCTGTACTTCTCTGTACTCTAGCCATATTAGAGTGTCCATGATTCACTGAGCACTATGCTTTTTCACACTTCAGTGGTTTTGCACATCTTTATTGTACTGAAATGTCTTCATCTCAGCCAACTATCTGCGTGGCCAACTTCTAGTCCTTTAGGAATGGGCCACTAATACAATTAGGTGACAAACTGATGGAGAATTTTATAATGGACAGACATGGCTGACATTACCTGAACCTACCAATCTATCTATTTTTAAAAAATGTTTTTCCAACTTTTATTTTAAGTTCAGGGATACATGTGCAGGATGTGCAGGTTTGTCACATAGGTAAACATGTGCCATGGTGGTTTGCTGCTGATCTTTCTTAATATTTAAGAAAAGAGGAAGTTTGTCTAACCCTATTGGCTCAAGAGGCTGCCCAATTACAATTTTTTTTTTTTTTTTAAAAGAGACAGACAATATGTATCTCTTAATATGATACAGTAAGAAATATACAATACTACCTGCATGGAATTCTAGTAAAAATACTTGAACCTGAATCTGACCAATCATTTAGATTTAATTACTAGTTTATAGGACACACAACATTTTAAAGGACACGACTAGGACGCAATCAGCAAAACTTAGCCTTTGAGAAACTGTGGTACAAATGACCTGGTATCTTCATTTGACAAGGAAGACAGGGGAACTGATAGATTAAAAGCCCCTTGACATATGTTAACCGAATGTAAGTCAGGCACAGTGGTGCGTGTGTCTGTAGTTCCAGCTACGTGGGAGGCTGAGGTGGGAGGATTGCTTGAGCCCAGGAGTTCAAGTCCAGCCTGAGCAACATAGTGAGACCCTGTCTCAAAAAAAAAAAAAAAAGTAATGGTGGACCTTATTTGGATCATGATTCCAACAACTAACTTTCAAAAGAAATTTTTGAATTGATGAGGAAAATTGAACACTAAATATTAGGTTATATTAAGCATGATTTTTTAGGTGTCATAATAGTTTTATGTGTTTACAAAAAAGAGTCCTGGCCGGGCGTGGTGATGGCTCATACCTATAACCCAGCACTTTGGGAGGCTGAGGCAGGTGGATCACTTGAGCCCAGGAATTCGAGAACAGCCTGGGCAACATAGTGAAACCCATCTCTAAAAAAAATACAAAAATTAGCTGAGTGTGGTGTTGCATGCCTGTAGTCCCAGCTACTTGGGAGGCTGAGGTCAGAGGATTGCTTGAACCCAGGAGTTTAAGGCTGTAGTGAGCTGAGATCACGCCACTGCACTCCACCCTGGGTGACAGAGTGAGACACTATCTCAGAAAAAAACGTCCTGGCTGGGTGCAGTGGCTCACACCTGTAATCCCAGCACTTTGGGAGGCTGAGGTGAGAGGATTACTTAAGCCCAGGAGTTTGAGACCAGCCCTGGGAATATAAGGAGACCCTATGTCTACAAAAAATAAAAAAATTAGCCAGGCGTGGTGGAGGTCAGGGCTAAAAGTGAGCTGTGATCATACCACTGCACTCCAGCCTGGGCTAAAAGTGAGCTGTGATCATAGCACTGCACTCCAGCCTGGGTGACAGGGAGACCCTGTCGCAGGAAAAAAAAAATCCTTATCTGTTAAAGATGCATGTGAAGTATTTACAGATGAAATGATACTTTAATGTAAATGATAGGTGTCATAATCCAGTGCATACATTGGGACAGAGCTGAGTAGGTAGAGGTATACATAAAACATGATTAGCCATAAGTTAATAATTATCGAAGCTGGATGATAGATACATGGGAGTTCAGTGTTTGAAATTTTACATAATGTTAAAAACAAAAAAGATGACTGAGCTTAAGGATTACTTCTTTTGGATATCTTCCCTTAACAGTGACTCTTGCTCAAAACCAGACAAAATAGATATTCCTTTTTCTTTTTTTTTTTTTTTTGAGACAGTCTCACTCTATCGCCAGGCTGGAGTGCAGTGGCGTGAGCTTGGCTCACTGCAATCTCTGCCTCCCGAGTTCAAGCGATTCTCCTGCCTCAGCCTCCCGAGTAGCTGGGATTACAGGGGCGCACTAATACACTCAGTTAATTTTTGTATTTTTAGTAGAGATAGGGTTTCACCATGTTGGCCAGGATGGTCTCCATCTCCTGACCTCATGATCTGCCCGCATAGGTCTCCCAAAGTGCTGGGATTACAGGCGTGGGTCGTCCAGCCCAGCCTTTTTTTTTTTTTTTTAAGAGACAGGGTCTTATTCTGTGTAATAACGTGATCGTGGCTCACTGCAGCCTTGAACTCCAGGTCTTAAGGGATTCTCCTGCCTCAACCTCTTAAGTAGTTAGGACTACAAATGTGTGCCACCAGGCCCAGCTAATTTTTTTTTGTTTTTGTTTTTGTTTTTGTTTTTGGTAGGGACAGGGTCTCACTATGTTGCCCAGGATGGTCTCGAACTCTTGAGCCCAAGTGATCCTCCCACCTTGGCCTCCCAAAGTGCTGGGATTACAGGCATGAGCCACCACTCTCAGCCCTAGATGCTTTTTCTTTTTTGTTTTCCTTTTATTTTTTGAGAGAGTCTTGCTGTCACCCAGGCTCAAGTGCAGTGGTATGATCTCGGCTCACTGCAACCTCTGCCTTCCAGATTCAAGTGATTCTCCCACCTCAGCCTCCCAAGTAGCTGGGATTACAGGCACCTGCCATCATGCATGGCTACTTTTTGTACTTTGAGTAGAGACAGGGTTTCACCATATTGGCCAGGCTGGTCTTGAACCCCTGCTTTGTGATCAGCCCACCTTGGTCTCCCAAAGTGATGGGATTACAGGTGTGAGCCACTGCCCATAGCCTAGATGCTCTTTTGCTTTTCTTGTCTTTCTTTATTTTTATTTTTATTTTTATTTTGAGACAGAGTCTTGCTCTGTTGCCCAGGCTGGAGTGCAGTGGCGCAGTCTTGGCACACTGCAATCTCCACCTCCTGGATTCAAGCGATTCTCCTGCCCCAGCCTCCCAAGCAGCTGGGACTACAGGTGCATGCCACCATGCCCAGCTAATTTTTATTTTTAGTAGAGATGGGCTTTCATCATATTGGCCAGGTTGGTCTTGAACTCCTGACCTCGTGATCCACCCACCTTGGCCTCCCAAAGTGCTGGGATTACAGGCGTGAGCCACCGTGCCCAGCCTAGATGCTCTTTTTCTAAAGCATCATAACTGTCTGTCCATACCTCCTTCCCAGCACTTACTTCACTCTGTTGTATTTGTTGTCTTTACTCCCTCACATGATTTTGAGCTTTTTGAGGTGTTTATATTCCTGATTTTACTTCAGTTACCATCATATAGATATTTGCTTTCATAGATTTGTTACTAGATATTTTATGACATCTACACATAACTTTAATTTGTTTTCTTTTAGGTTGCATAGCAGTAGAAAAATCCCTGAATAGCCGAAACTTTAGCAAGCTCTTGCACTCTTGCCCATACCAATGTGATCGTCACAAAGTCATTGTGGAAGCTGAAGACAGATATAAAAGTGAACTAAGGAAATTACTTATCTGTAACAAAAGTAATTAATTCAGCAGCTTTAAAACTGTAATTATGGCTATACCTTCTGAACTATTATCTAAAGCATTAAATATATCAAAAACTAGAGGGTAAAATAATCTTAAAAAGAAAATCTGTCTCTAAGCAACCAGTAATTCAAGATGTACCCAGGGAGTAGTCTTAGACTGTTAGTTTAAAAATTCTTCCTAATCTATCTAAGTATTCCCACTAGACGGGGGAATAAAGGAAAATATACTAATGGAATTGATACGCTATTACTCAGATTGATATGCTAAGTGTCCTAAATGTTTTCCATATTTTTCAGAAATTCTGCTGACCCCACGTAGAAGACAACGACTCAGTAATGAATCTACTACCCCTGGAAGAATAAGTGAATATATTTAATTTAATTTTTTTTTTTCTCGAGACAGGGTCTGGCTCTGTCACCCAGGCTGGAGTGCAGCGGAGCAATCTCTGCTCACTGCAGCCTCCGCCTCCCAGGTTCAAGTGACTCTCCTGCCTCAGCCTCCTGAGTAGCTGGGATTACAGACACGTGCCACCATGCCCTGCTAGTTTGTGTATTTTTAGTAGAGATGGGGTTTCACCATGTTGGCCAGGCTGGTCTCAGACTCCTGACCTCAAGTGATCCGCCCGCCTTGGCCTCCCAACGTGCTGGGATTACAGGCATGAGCCATTGCACCTGGCTGAATATATTTTATTTTTAAATGAACTTAAATTTCATATATTCCTGAGAAAGAAGAGAACAGCTGAGTAGTTGTTCTCAGTCTCATTATTAACGGATCTTAAATGATAAACCTTGCCTCTGATGAGGGTCAGACCTAATAAAAGAGACTTTCCTCTTCCCTTCATGTTGCTTGCTCACTCATTGCCTGCTAGCAGGGGAAGGAGCAGGAGGATACTAACATTTATTAAGCACCTGCTAGGTGTTAGATGGTGTATAGATATTATTTCCTTTAGTTCCTATAGTAATATTGTAAGTTAGATAGTAATTTGCTCCTATTGTAAGGCATAATTATTAATAGTTGGTAAGTAGCAGAACTTAGATTCAAAAAGCCATTCTCCAGAAGCCCTTGTTCTCTCCTCACGTTTTTCTTTTAAGAACAAAATTATTATGCACAAGCGCTTCAGAGAGACTTTGCAGGAGGTTTTTTTTCATAACTATAGTGCTTGAAACAATAAAAATTGAAGAGACAAATAGTATAAACCTTAAAACTGCTTAAAAAATAAAAATGTCTCTTAAACAATTTATTTATGGGAATTTTAATTTAACTATATGGTTAACATTTCGCATTGATCACCATTTCCGATTTATCAGAAGCTTAAATAACATTATCATTTTCTTTTATTCATATGGAGTTAATACCTGCAGACTAAAATAGGTTGGATATATTAATTAGTAACATCTATAGAGCCACTCTGTTATTTAGACATTTGAACGTGATACATTCAGGAAGCATTTTGCCACGTATATTTATTTGGCTATTTTCACTGCCAAAACTTTCAAGGAAATTTCAAATTTGCTTTTTTTATCTGAATCTTTTTCTGGATTAAAAGTTCTACATGCAAATTATAATTAAGTATAGTACAGAAAGATGAGCCCACTTTCTGAAGTAATGTTTTCTGTAGTAATTATTAGAAAATGGGTATTTTTTCATAGAAACATCATGCACTTGGAGACCTTGCTCTTGACAAGGGCTTGGCATCAAATTAATAATAGGTGCTTTTCAACAACATGTCTTCAAAGCAAGTATGTAACAACAAAAAATATGCTATAATGTATTTGCATAGTAAAATAATTTGCAGAACTTCATGAAATGTGCATAATAATGGTTATACAATGATTATATACAGGGGTCCTATATACTATTAAGTGACACTGAGCTCAGAAAAAAACATACTTTTTTTTTTTGTAGGTAAAACTTGCTCTAGCTAAAACCAAATAATCTGGCCTACTTTTTAGTATTTAGAAAGGAATCTTGAGAAAGTAGTGATTCTTACATCTCTTTCACAAGTAGGCCAGGAATATTTGGTGTGTTACCATTTTTTTCCCCTCTTAATAAACTTACCTTTTTTTAGGACACTCACCACTATTCATTTAATTATACTTTATACTCAAAATTTGAGCCCATTCTTCTGAGAAGGGACCACTGTACTAAGCATTTACAGATTTCCCCAAGCCTCTATTTTAGGATGGATTGGTGTTTTGAGAGGGCTTGAAAAATAAAGAGTCCTTAGAATTAAGTCCTCTTGCCCATTTTCCCTTACTCTTCCCTAATACCTAATATTAAGACTAAATAAGTCACAGAGTGGGGAGCTTGGGGTGTAGAGAGCTGCTTCCTTCTTCCAGGCTGCTCAGTACTCTGCTGTAGGAATCTTTGAGGATTTGGGCACAGATGGTAAGTATAAAAGTCGGGGAGATGGCAGCCACAACAGAAAAGTGGGGCTTTACATGATCAACTCCAGGGCTCAATATCCTGAAAGTTATAGTAACCAGTCTAGTCCTGATTATTATGAGTTCAAATAATTTAACAAGGGAAGTTGAAACCTATTTCTTGGATAGCCACAGTTTTCCAGTACACCCAAAATGAAGGAGTAATTTCATTGATAAGTTTTGAGATAGTTTTACCAATAATTTTGTTCTCTCAACAAGTATTTATTGACTACTACTATGTGTCAGATACTATTCTAAGCACTGGGGATACAATGGTGAATAAAATAGATTAAAATTGCTGCCCTCATGGAGCTTACATTCTAAATAATACTATTAAGCAATAATCAGACATTGTTTACACTGATAACCTTCTGCTGGGAAGATTTTTCTCATCCGTTTTAAAAGGTCTGCTATGGCTCTTAGAATAGGTAAACAAATGGCTTTCTTGGCCTGCAAGGACAAGATTTTCTTTTTTTTTTTTCTGAGACAGAGTTTTTCTCTTGTTACCCAGGGTGGAGTGCTGTGGCCGGATCTCAGCTCACTGCAAGCTCCGCCTCCCGGGTTTACGCCATTCTCCTGCCTCAGCCTCCGGAGTAGCTGGGACTACAGGCGCCCGCCACCTCGCCCGGCTAATTTTTTTGTATTTTTTAGTAGAGACGGGGTTTCACCATGTTAGCCAGGATGGTTTCGATCTCCTGACCTCGTGATCCGCCCGTCTCGGCCTCCCAAAGTGCTGGGACTACAGGCTTGAGCCACCGCGCCCGGCCAAGGACAAGATTTTCTAAGGGTGACTCAGGACAGCTGCACCCAGTACTACGAAAGTAAATAACAGCCTCAAGTGGAAATACAAAAAACTCCTCACCAGCATCTACCCACAATGATAACATGGGATAATAATGAATGAAAAAGCTTAAAGAAAACTATTTCCTAGTAATCATCACCAGAAAATATTTGTTTACAGATATCAACTATATATTCTTTCTTTATAGAAAGTATCCCTTAAAAACCAGATAGCTAAAAACTTCGTTCCCCATTGTGCAGCCTATATTTTGAGTTTTGATCTAGCTGACCACGTGTTTTTAAAAGCAAATTTCAAAAGACCCTTATTCTTAAAAATATTATCAAACTTAATATTTAAAGTAACAAGTGTTGATATTCTTTTTTATTCTATCAAGTTATGGAGCCCTTTGGGAAGACTGTAAGATATGCAAGCTGTTTTTTATTTATTTATTTATTTTTAAATTTTGAGATAGTCTTGCTCTGTCACCCAGGCTGGAATGCAGTGGCACGATCTCAGCTCACTGCAACCTCTGCCTCCCAGGTTTAAGCAATTCTTGTGCCTCAGCCTCCTGAGAAGCTGGGGCTACAGTCATGTGCCACCATGCCTGGCTACTTTTTGTACTTTTAGTAGAGACAGGGTTTTGCCATGTTGACCAGGCTGGTCTCGAACTTCTGACCTCAAGTAATCCACCTGCCTAAGCCTCCCAAAGTGCTAGGATTACAGGCGTGAGCCACCATGCCTGGCCAGGAAGATATTGGTTAACTGTCCTCACAGGAATGTTGAATTAACAATCAAATGTTTATAAACTGTTGTTTCTTGATTGAAAGATATTGTATTACTACTATCAATTAAGTTATAATTACTGAAGAAGTCACAGTGATAGCAACTAGCTTAATATTAGGCACTCAGGTTTTTAAAGTTGAAGTGGGTTACCACATGATGAGAAGCCCTGGCATTTCTCTATATCCTTAGGTATAAGGTAAGCATATCCAAATAAGCACTTATTTGCATCTCAGGACCTTTGTTCAGCAAATACTAATATATTCTACAATCCTAATTACAGAAAAAAGAAGAGTTCGCAAAAACTTTACTGAAGAAGAAGTAAATTACCTTTTCAATGGAGTTAAGAAAATGGGAAATCACTGGAATTCAATTTTGTGGTCTTTCCCCTTTCAGCAAGGACGGAAGGCTGTGGACCTTGCTCACAAATACCGCAAGCTGACCAACAGCCCCATGTGTGCAGCTTCTTCTTTGGAAGAAGACTGTCAGTTTAGTTTGGATTTTTAAAATACAGTGCCTTGAAAGATACAACATTTAAAGTATTTTTCTAAACTCTCAGAAGGAATGTGGAAATGAGGACACAGTTTTTATTAAACAGTTTTTGTGATGCTGAAACTCATCAAGTTATTACAATGATTTATAAAGCAAATATATCTCTAGTGCACAGATTAGTAAGATAAAATTCCTTTGTAAGATCAAACATTTGTTTAGGAATATGCTTTTATTTTTCCTTAAGCTTAAATGACATAAAGAATTATCAGCCTTTAAACGTTATTTGACATTATATTGCAATAAATACTATGTGAGACATTTGGATTTTATACGGTACAAAAGTCCCTCCCTAGAATTCAGAAAGAATAGTTCCCCAAGCTGTTTAACTAAGGTTCCCACACACTAAATCAATATTTGACATTTTGTTAATTAAAACGTTTCCTTGGCTGTGGTGGTGGCTCATATTTGTAATCTCCCACTTTGGGAGGCCAGTGTGGGAGGATCACTTGAGGCAAGGAGTTTAAGACCAGCCTGGGCAACATAGTGAGACCCCCATCTTTACAAAAAATTTAAAAATTAGCTGGATGTGGTGGCATGCCCCTGTGGTCCTAGCTACTTGAGAGGCTGAGGTGGGAGGATCACTTGAGCCCAGGAGTTTGAGGTGGTAGTTAGCTATGAGTGTTCCACCGTACTCTAGCCTGGACTAGAGAACTAGACCCTGTCTCTTAAAAAAGTTACCACTTCTATTGTTTACTGTAGTATCGTAGAGGGAAAAAAAATTTCTTCTTCTAAAGACTAATTATGCAGTGCTTTGAATACTTCCACATTGTATAGTCAGGTTCACTTCTTTGTAGTGTATGTTTATTTGCTTTAGCTTTTCAGAAGTGTCTACACTTTCCCCTCTTCTCCCTCTATGTCTTTATCCTTCATATTGATGAGCCCTAGTTACTTCATGTTGCAGCAGAACGATCTCTTGTCCCCTTAGGAGTTTAGTCACTGACACTGGATAATTGTCTTTGCAAAATGTGTCCAGAAATGTCACCCTAAGAAATCCAGCCTGACTTGCATGGGGGGCTAGCTTCTTTATTAGCGTCAGTGAGGTTTTATGGGTTCTACCCTAAGATGCTTCTTGTCATTCTACATGACCAACTCTTAGATTATAGTTAATGATGTTTAGATTATAATTTTTATTTTAAATAATTTCCTATCCTATTCCTATGCATTTTTAAATTTAATTTTACTTTATTTGACAGAGTCTTACTCTCTTGCCCAGGCTAGAGTGCAGTGGTGCAATCTCAGCTCACTGCAGCCTCTGTCTCCTAGGTTCAAGCAATTATCGTGCTTCAGCCTCCCAAGTAGCTGGGATTAAAGGTGCATGGCACCATTCCTGGCTAATTTTTTTTTTTTTTTTTTTTTTTTTTTTTTTTTTTTTTTTTTTTTTTTTTTTTGTATTTTTAGTAGAGATGGGGTTTTGCCATGTTGGCCAGGCTGGTCTGGAACTCCTGACCTCAAGTGATTTGCCAGCCTCGGCCTCCCAAAGTGCCAGGATTACAGGTGTGAGCCACCGCACCTGGCCTTCCTATGCTTTTTTGTTAAACCCTTCCACAGGACTTTAATGTTCCTACTAAATTTCATCTTGTTAGATTTAGTTTCTGCTCAGTTTGTCAAGCAGTAGATAAGGCAACCCTTCCTGCTTCAGGTCATCCACAACTTCCATTACTGCCGCTGTATTCTTATCCAAGTCACTGATGGCACCCTGAATTGGCTGGCCAGGGCAGGAGGTTTGGGCAGGCCCCTAGCAGCCTCTTCTGCTGGTCCCTCCTCTTCATCAGCCACCTCTGGGCTAGTCTTTAATAAGCCTCAATGCTATCATCCAGCATTGATTTCACTTTCGCATCTAAGATGTGAATTGTCAAATGCCCTGTTGAAATCTGCATTTGCTATATCTGCAGCATCCGCCTACCTGGTACTCCTGCAAAAAAGAAAGATACTGTGTAAATCTGGTACTCTCTTTTCCTTTAGTGTCTAATCACAAAATTTCACTTAGTGCTGATTAAGCTCACTGGACTGTAATTTTCAACTCCATCTTCTGTCCTGTGAAAATTCAGCACTCCTTCCCCTTTTAGGACTTCTGGCACTTTGCCTGATTTTCCCAGATTTCCAAGGGAGGAACTCAGTGGGTTTTCACTTTCATTGTCTTGTTTAAACCTTACATCCAGTTTGGCAGATGATATGCCCATTTGTTTTATCCCGTAATTCATGCTGCCAGATTTTTGGCGTCAGGATCACAATCCTACTCATATGAAACCCACTCAGGTAGTGCTTTTCTGCCATATTCCACTTCCTTGTGATATTTAGAAATGTCTTCTTAGCCTGTTTCCATAGAGAATGGCAAGAGCCCTCAAGTAGAGGCCACACCTAAAATTAAGCTTGATAATGGAATGTATGTTTTTCCTTCGGTTACTCTCCGCTCTTTCCCTTTTCCATCCCCTTTCCTTTTGTTTTCCTTCCCACTCTGCACCTGCCACCTGGCCCCCAAGGAAATTAAGGGCTCCTCTTCTAGTGTGAAATGCTGGCTCCCTGAAAACATCATTTTAAAAAGCATATTAAAGCAAAGCCAAGTGTATTATGCACTGCGGTCAAGAGCTCTAACTCACAGTCTAGTCTTCCGAGGAGGAAGGGGAAAAGCAGGATATTTATGAGGATTCTGGCGTCTTGCTTAAGGCTGGCCTTTCAATGCAGGGCTTGAGTAGGGTTAGGCCAAGTTGATAATATAATAGTCCAGGGTTGGGGAATAAATTAGAAGTGTCGAATGTTATTTTCTAGTCTTGGGTTCTTAGGTGGGTTTCTTAAATTTTCTGAGCTTCAGGTTCCTCATCTGTGAAAGGGTTAGATAAGATTCAGTGAGATAATGTGTGACTGGCACATAGTGAGCTCGAGATAAATTGCGCTTTTGTGTGCATCAGTCTCATTCCCAAAGCCTAGGCTTTACGGTCATGCGGCTGCCCGACCCCCGAGGGCACAGCGGAATCCGCGAGCTTGGCGGGGCGCTGCGCTGCGCCCCTCAACCGGCAGAGGCCGTCAGAGCGCCCTCGGTCCAGACGGTGCCCGCCTCTTCCACCGCCTCCCCGCGCATGGCTGCCCCGGCGGCTGCCTGACCGTCGCCCGCCACCTCGGCGGCCTCGCAACCTGTGGGAGCCCGTGGCCATCGCAGACCTAGAGGGCACACTGGGTGGCGCAGTCGCCGCGGCAAGCTCGACAGGCGGCGCGGCGCGGGGGACGGCGAGCGGGGGGCGGCCCGGCCGGGGTCCTCGCGGGTCCTCGGCGGGCCCGGGGGAGGGCCCTCTTTGTGGCTGCAGTTGGCAAGATGGCGCCGGTGGGGGTGGAGAAGAAGCTGCTGCTGGGTCCCAACGGGCCCGCGGTGGCGGCCGCCGGCGACCTGACCAGTGAGGAGGAGGAAGGCCAGAGCCTATGGTGAGGTCGCGGGCGGTCGGGCCGGGCCGGGGAGGCCGCGGCCGCTGGGCCGGACCGTCGGACACACTGAGGGGCCGTCGCGAGCCGGGCCATCCCAGTCCGACCCGGGGCTGACCACTCTCACCATTGTCCCCGCAGGTCCTCCATTCTGAGCGAAGTGTCCACCCGTGCCAGGTCGAAGCTGCCGTCCGGCAAGAACATCCTGGTCTTCGGTGAGCACCGGCAGCGGGGCGTTGCCCCAGGGCGCTGGGGTGGGCGAGGCGGGCGCCCCTCCCACAGGTCCCCGCCTTCCCCTTGCCAGCCGCCTGCCCGCAGCCTGGCGGGAAAGGGACCGTCGGCCCTGGCCGGGCAGCTGGAGTGTGGCCAAACCTCCCGCGCCCGAGGGTGGGATGCTGCCGTCTTTGGAGAGCCTAGTGGTGCTCTAGGGTTGTCGGCACATTGTTTCAGTCATTTGGCGTTCTATGCCTCCATAGCCTCGAAGATTACCAAATTGAGATCGTGGAGAAGGGAGCTAGTAAATGAGGTTAGGTGGAAAAAGTGGGAGAACTAGGTGACCTGGGCTTGGAGCTGTGGGGAAATGGCCACGGGAGCCTTCTTTGAGCCTCATCAGTAGTGCATAGTCTGAGGTTTTCGGGACTTTGCAGAGGACAGAGAGTCAGCACTGGGGACGTTTCCTGCATTACTCTAGCCCTCACTGCTAGGTTACCTGAGTCAGGTCTCTTAATCCCTCTGGCCTCACTCTCCTCAAGTGAGGGAGTTGGGGTACATTCACACAGCAAGTTGCTTGGGACCTGTGGGCTGGGCACTGGCTCAGCATAGACGTCTCTTAAACACTATACAAAAATCTCAGTTCGGTGGAAGACAGATCCATGCCGATTATTGTGGAAGCATCACACAGCTTGGAGCTGTTGAAGGAGGATGATTTGGGGGTTGAGTATTTTGCAGAAAAGTGTCAGTATGCAGGGACACAGATGACAAGAGGGTGTGGGGTTTGGAAACTGCTCGAAGCGCCTTGTGGTTGATGGCTGCTAAGGTAAGTTGGGGGCAGATCGTGGGAAGGCTGAAGAGTTAGTGCTGTTTCCTGAAGTTCTCTGATTCTCAAAGGCCTGTTATCTCACCTCCATCCCCCAATTCTCATGGGAATCACTGCCTTGGTAGTTTTCCTACTGCTACTGACGAGAATGTGTGACCTTCCTCAGGAAATGACTGTGGTCGGTAATACTGGACCCTTAGAGATCTTCAAGAAGTGGGGGATCAAGATCACCAGATCTGAGTTTTAGAAAGAACACTGCCTGCAGAGGGACAGTAGCTCAAAATGAGCAGGTACTGAAGTCAGACTGATAGGTACTCACCATGGTCTGTATGCGGAGGGCCTGAATAAGGTAGAGGCATTGGAGACCGAGAGGAGGTCTTTGATCTGTGTACTGACTGCCTTTCAATTCTCATGTTCTATAATTCCATATTATTAAATGCCAGAAGTGCCTAGTAGTGTTTGGCGATGGTTCTCCTTGATGTTTAAGGATCCGGGGAGGGGGTGTTGTTTGGGTGGAGGGAGATGAAGAAGTGCTTATTAATTAACTGAGATTGTACTAAAGAGTTTTGCTAGGTCTATAATTATTTTCGTCAGTTTCTTAATCTTCAGAATGCTTGTGAAGGAGATGTACTAAAATCAAAAGTGAATAACTTCCGTTCTTCACCATTGTGAAGTAGGATCAGACTTTTTTTAGTTTACGGTACCTGGACTTTTAGGTTAATTGTATCATAAAAGATTTCTTGTTTTTCTTGTGGTGAAAGTTTTATCTTGTGAGAAACTAACCCTGCCTTTTACTTTCACTTCTCCAAATGCATGTCTTATAAGTTATAGATAGGGCCTGTGGACCTGCCTCATTATTTCCCTTGTGAAGTAAGGATAACGCAGTAGAATGTCATTTTAGATTTTAGAATTTGCTGCCTTTACCACCCTCTCCTCCCTACCCTCCCAACCACTCTTCCAGCAGAGTCCTTTGTTTATGAAAGCAGGTGAGACCTCAACAGCAGACTTTGCATGAAATTCTTAGTTGTTCCATGTCATGTGA